ACAGCGTTTCCCTGCTGTCTTCTGAAGTGTGTAAGAGTAAGCTCTGCGCAGACGCCGTTCTCCCAAGTCCTCGAAGATCTCCTGTGCTTCCAGGAGCCATTTCTCGGCCTGCCACGCGACATGCGCGCCTTGTCCCTCTCTTCAACTGAAACTTGAAGAGGGCACAAAATTGTAGTCTCGCGGTCCAAAGCCTCCTCGAGCTGGTTGACCATCTTGTAGACATTGGCAGCCAGCAGCAGGGCCTCAGGGAGTTGCTTGAGAATCAAACCAGCCCATGTGCCCCATAACTATAGCAACTATACTGAAGGGACTTCTAACTCCAAGTTAGGATCCTTATAACACTTATAACCCATGTGCCCCTCTGCTCTGAGGCACCCTCAGGCCCCTGCCGTGGCCTCCCCACGCCGGTCCTGGAGCTTTCGCGCAGTTCCGGGTTTCGGGTTCTGGGGTCCGAGCGATCGCCTACACAACAGTACACAACAAGGGCGCTTAAGGGAGGGATGCTGGGAGAGAAGGAGAGGGGGAGAAGGGGAGGGGGGGGAGAGGGGGGAGAGGGGGGAGCCACCTTGAGCTCCCGGAAGATCGTCACTGCCTCTTCGGCAGTGCTCAGGGCCTGCAAAGAGGATCCCTTTCGCCACGATGCATCTCTGTGGCAACAGACACACCTTGCCATAGAACTCAAGACGCTGGGGTTCTTAGGGTTTAGAGGTGCAGCGTCCTCCTGGAACTCCTGGAGCTGCGTCTGCACCTGCCTTGCACTGGAGTTCATCATCCAAGGCTGTGAGGCTCAATTCTGGCATGCCCAGGGTCCGTGGAGCCACGGAGAGCAACGGCAAGAACCCAGAGACTCCGATACCCCTTACCAGTAGCTAAGCAATATCTTCCTTAAAGTATACGAGGGTTCCTCTTACTCAGGAGTATTCCTTCATTCAAGGGGGTATTGGAGTCTCTTCAAAAACACGCTCGGAGCTTTTTGGACGCGCAGCCGCCGTCGTTTGCACGTCGATTCCGAGCCCTCTTGCTCATCTCCGCCTGCTTCGGCTGCGTCGTCGGCTCCTGCTTAACAAGCTTGATATTCTCATTCATAGTTTGGGATGTCCCCCCCTTATACTAACAGTCCTTAATAGGGATTGAAGTATCGCCGATTACAATCCCTATACTATTAAGGACTGTTAGTATCCCAATGAGTCATTGGCCATATTGAAATGTTGTCATGGTATGCATCATGTGAAGCTGGAGAGCATTGTCAGGCAAGGTTGCCCAACAAAGATTCCCGTAAGGCCTCGGCCGCCTGCGAGCTCTTGACGAAGAAGACCTCGACCTCTTGGTTCTAAGTGCTCAGGCAAGCTCAGGATTCATGCTACGTCTGCTTGCAAGACGGAACAAGCTCCACGCCTGCGCGGCTTCTTGGCAGGTCGCCTCGATCTCCTGGCTACGCGAAGCTGAGATGCTGAACGCCCGGTGTCATCCGGTGTCATCTGCTGCTCTGGTAGCTGAGTCCTGGAACTGCTGCTACTGCTGCTGCTGCTCCTCCTCTTCTTCTTGCTCGCCTGCACACGACAGCTTGTGAAAACTCACCCAGACCTCCAGCCAAGAAACAGCCCCGCACCCTCCAAGAAACTCCACAACAGGGGGCTCCATCTTCCAGCGCCTGCCTACGTGGCCCCAAGCCGTGCGCAGAACAGCGCTCCCCCTAAGGCCCGCGTTGGCAGGAAGAAGAGATCCCAAGGTCGATGGTGCTTCTGATTGCTCAACCACTCCGTCTCATCGCGGTTACCACGCAACTCCTTGCAGCCCCCTTTGGAAAATCCTGAGATGGATCACACTTTGGCATTTATCGCCAGCTCTGCCAGGGGATCTCAAGGGGTGGTCCCCTGAACCCTAAACCCTAAACCCGAAACCCCTTTTACATCTACACCCCACCTGAAGATGTGTCTCCTTACTCAGGAGAGCAGGGGTTATGTGCCTCGGGGCTCTTGGTGTCTTTCTTGCCCTCCGCGGCGTTCGTGCTCTTGCTCTCCGTGTTTGCCTTGTCCCCGTTGGCGGGGGGAGGCTCGTTGAGCTCCTTGTCATGGGATGTTCCCCCCTTATACTAACAGCTCCTTAACGGGGCTGATAGTTCGGGGGGTGGGGTACATAAATCCCTACGAAGGGCTGTTAGTATAGGGGGTGAAGATATCCCAATCCTTGTCCTTCTTCTTCTCGGCCTCCGGCTCGTCCTCGCCTCGGCTTCAACTGGGAGTGAGGTGGTTCGGGAGTCGGGGGAGCTGTTCTTCGACTCTCGGGTCTGGGTGAAGTTGTTCCAGGTTTACCCGGGCTTATACTCGACCCAATAGCAGCTTCGGAAGATGTTAGAAGCGTTAACCAGGCATGGATAGATGTGGCTCTGAAACAAGTGTCTGGAGCTGGGATCTTCGGAGGCTTCTTCCTCGGCGTCTGCAGCCTTCTCAGGCTCCTCATCTGAAGCCACCTCTGTGCCGACCATTTCGTCCTCGTCCTCCTCCTCGTCTGATGGGGAAAGTGCCAGAAGCAGAAAGAAAAAAAGATGTTGTTCTAAATTGCCAACTTCGAGACATGGTACCGACAAGGTTTTTGCGGGTCCCTCTAGACGCGTGTGTCGTGCTTGGCTATCCAGAGTGATTGTTGGGGCGTTTGCAATAGACGACTCTAGAGCTTGAAGCTTTGAGAGCCTGGGTATAGTTCTGGCAGACGGCCTGATGTTAGACTTTGGGGTTCTTAGCCCTTGCGCTCGCCCTTGCGCCCGCTTGCGCCATGCTGGTTTTTGGCGCCATGGTTACACGAAGGCAACATGCGTGTGGCCGGCCCAATTAAACACGAAGAGGCGGGTTTTTAGAACAACGCCCTTAATTTAAAAGACTAGAAAGCCAAAAAAAAAGGCAAGAAGCAAACAGCTAAAAGCCATGAGCTGAAAGCGACAAGCGACAAGCAAGAGCCACAGCAAGTTTCAGAAAACTGACTCAGAAGAAAAAACAGATCGCATCGCAACAAGGGGGCGAGGCAAGTCCAGTTCGTGGGTGCTTCTTGATTCTTGTTTGGGTTGCTGTTTGATTATTTGGTTTGCTGATTTGCAATTAGGCATCCCCCTCCTCGTCCTCGTCTTCCTTGTCCGGCTGCATCCCTTTCGAAGAGAAGACCTGCTTGAGACTTTCCTCAGGCAGGGGAGTGCTCAAGAAACCCGCCGTGGTTTTGCAGCCGAAGCTACCTTCTTAGGGTAGCTACATGCTCCCTCTTAGTATGGTCCCTTAGTCTGGGCCCTTAAAAGGGGGGGGGCCCCCTTTTAGAAACCCCTTATATGTCAGGAGACCATGTAACCACACCAGATCTGCCTGACCTTCTCACGAGCCTAGGCTCCAGAGCTTTCTCTTTCTGGGACGCAGGGCGGAGGGCGATGGTCTCCACCAGGGAGGGCAGCAGCGGGTCAGACATGACCTCCGGAAACTCTTTAGGGTTTAGGGTTTAGGGTTTAGGGTTTATATTTTTGCCACCCGCCAAGCAGTCCAGCCGCACTGCAGGGTGATATTTCGGGACGATGTACAGTGGGTTTATATAGGGTTTAGGGTTTTTAGGGTTTATAGGATTTATAGGGTTTACAGGGTTTAGGGTACCAGAACAAAGTCCCGCAAACATGACAAGCAGCCTGCGGACCAACACGGCGCCAAGGACACTATTCGAAGAACGAGGTCTACAGTAGGATTGCTACCTTTCGGAGGGCGCTGACCACTAGGTAATACTGGGTACAGGAAGTGCATCAACAAACAGCTCAAGATAGCTCAGGCCGCAAGAGAAGCCGGAACAAATGCCCATGGGCTTTGTGCACTGCTGCTTACAGGACGCGAGGCCCAACATCCACAGGGCCAAGCCCCGGATCCTTTTGTTTCTTCTTGCTTTGGCGGTTTTGGGCCAGGAAACACCTAACCCTAAACCCTAAACCCTAAACCCTAAACCCTAGGCCTTGCATCTGACTCTCTCCCCGCGGTCCCAGGCGCTTTCCATGGACCAAACCGCGCTCTCACCTAGGCTCTCGCCTGGGTCCCGCACAGTAGGGTTTAGGGCTTAGGGTTTGGGTTTGGGGTTTAGGGTTCAGGGTTCAGGGTTTAGGGGTTTTGTTAAGGGTCGACATCACACACTCGTCTGCATCCCGCGCGGGTCGTGCGTAAAGCAAGGTCGAGCACGCATTCCGCGGTCAACATTGTGTTTCTGGAAGCGGAACGCAGCAGAAATAGGACAAACCCCTCCCCTCCTCCCCTCCCCCCCCTCACAAAGCCAGATTCCCTGGGCCTGGTTCAGGCCCTCCGCATTCGAATCGACGAAGTCGCCGTCGGCAGCTATCGTCCTTGAGCCCCAAAGCCCGAAACCCTTTGTTTCATGCCGGCCTGCAAAAAGAAGGGTTTAGGGTTTTGGGCTAACCCTGAAAGCCTCAGGGTGATTGGTCCTCAGATTGATGGCCTGTGAGGGCTAGGGGTGCCACTGTTAGCCCATCTTAACTCCACAGGGCACCTATGAGACTATGAGTGACTCAATAAACCCCTTTTTCGCCCACAGCAAGCCCTAGACCCTAAACCCTCAACCCTAAACCCTAAACCCTAACCCTAAACCCTAAACCTTAAACCCTAAACCCTAAACCCTAAACCCTAAACCCTAAACCCTAACTTTCTTCAAGGATTTTAGGGGCCCAGTCTCCTGAGGTTCTCCTTGAAGCCTTGCATGGCTAAGAGCTGGTTCTCCATCGTGGCCTTGAAGGCGCTTTCAAGGCGCCTGACCGCCTCTTTCTCCTGCATCAGAATCCCTAAACCCTAAACCCTAAACCCTAAACTCATGAGGCTGCAACTTCGCACACCTCCATCCCACTACCTGCCTGTTCAGTCAGAACTAACTTGCAGGCGCAAGTCACAAAAGATCCCAACTTCTCCTTCTCCTTGCCCTTCTCTGCCTTCGCGCGGGCCTCCTTCAGTGCTTCTCCTGGCAAAGAATGCCACGATATGCCACGAGCTGCATGTGGAACATCAACGCCGAAGCGACTAAGTCCGGTGCTTGCCGTGTCGAGGTCAGCAACCAGCTTGCTGTCTGTGGCGACAAGGGGTGGCAGATGCAGCAAGCGTCACCCCACCACGATTCTCAATGATGCATCTAAGTTCGTTGCTCTCCAGCTGGCTGCTCGCGAGATTGTCTTGGAGCGCCTGAATCCTGGCTTTGGCCACTTTGGCTTGCTGCACAACACAACCGCAAAAGCGCAGGCCACTCAGCGAACAAAAGCAAAAAGCTTCCCAACATCGCACAAGGAGCTCTGCTCTTCCTGCGGCGCTTCAAGAGCTAAAGCCAATCGAGGCGAATCAAGCTGCAAATGCGCAGGGAAGATGGCAAAGAAGAGGAAAGTCTAAGCATCGGGCTGTCCGCGTCTTTCTGCTCGGCATCGGCAAGCTGCGCCTCACGACCGGCCCGGAGGAATTCGAAACGAAAACTAAGATAATCCTACAGTAATGATAAAATAATATCAATAGTGACAATACTAGTAATATTAATAATATTGTAATATTGACATGATACTATAAGCAGACATTGCATGCGCTGAGCAGAAAATTCAATTCAAGAGGCAGGCGAAATCAGAAAGCAAACAGCAGCATGGAAAGGAGCAGGAAGAAGCAGACAGGATTTTGCGCGAGGCGTCATCTAGGGCTATCCCGAAACCCTAAACCCTATAAACCCTAAACCCTAAACCCTATAGGGCATTCTCGCACACGTCAAAAGGCAAGGTGTAGGGAGCTTCGTCTGTCGGCCTTGGGGTTGAACTCAGCATCAGGGTCTCAAAAAACATCACATGTGCTTTGTTTGCATCGTCCTGGGATCTCCCAAAAAACATGTGCGTCCAGAACAATTGCGAATGCAAGACGGTTGCGAGTTGAATCGGGTTTTGGGGGATGTTTTGGGCTTGCCTAAGCCCTGAACCCTCAGACCCTGTTGCATCTGGCTTGGAAAACCCTTTTTGCATCCTCCAAGAAGGGGAGCTCCGTTGGGGTCAGGGGAGGCGACCCCTGGTCTTCGGCTATTTGACGCGGCCTCTTGCACGTTGACACAAAACACATCCAACGATTGTCACAAAAACACAACTTGTTGTTCAGATGCCCTTTTCGCCAGTAACGTGGAGTGCTCTGCTCCACTTGCACAAGCACCCCACTCACCCCAACTGATTCGGGTCCGGATGTTCTTGAGGATTTGTGTATGGTTGCTCCGCACGTGCAAGATAACCCAGAACCCAGGGCACCCCACGGGCGCCATAGCACCCCGCACAAGGTCTTCACCTCCTTTCTTACCTTGCTTTGGCCCAAAAAAAGGCGGGCGGCCCTCACAAGTTTTTCTGTTGTTGTTGTTTCCACTCCGACTCCGCTAGCTTCACCCCAGCTAGTGCATGCATAGGCTGCATGGGCTCCGACTCTTTGCCTCGAAACGGAAACGACGGAAAGCGAAAGCAGTGTTTTTGGCTTTTTTCAGCGCGATAAACCAGGTTTCGAATCGTTTTACATGCTCACTGACGTTCTCTGCTACGTCTCGTGCACATTCCGTGGACGACATTGTGTTCTGGCCTAGGGTCTGTCTGCGTTTTTTCGGGCTTATTTGCCTACAAAAGCCAGGAAGAAGCGGTTCTTTCGCTATGTTGATGAACCCCGCTTCACTCGCCTCAAGATCGGAGAGCTGCTTTTTGAAGGCATCTCCTCAGCCATGAGGAACATGCCCTATGCAGCGCCACATGGGCACAAAGCAGCTCCAGCAATCGAGTTACACAATTGGCTTCAGCGGTCTAAGCCTAAGCACCGGACTGTCAGCAGTCAGCTGGTCTTGAGCCTTTACAGGCTTTATCTAAGCGCTTCAGGCGCGCACGCAGTAGAACCACAGCAAGCGGGCCTCCTTCCATGTGCCCTGGATTCTCTGCGACTCTTCTTCCGCTTGGCTGAGCTGGTCACGGATCATGTCTTCCGCTTGTCGCGCTTGCGCCAGCTCCTCCTCGAGTGTGGCCATTTTCTGCAGATAGTCCACTTCCTGTCGAATACTGGGGATAGCTAGCTCAACTGCATGACACTGTATTGGCCGAGAGATGCGCACAGAAAACAATCATGTGCAGACATGGCACGCTTGTGCTGCTTGCTGGCAATTGCTGTGGTAGGGCTGGTATGTCCTCGACAGATTTGAAGACTACGTTGCCCTTCTGACGAAACAAGATCAAACAAGCGCGTGGTGCGGGCACATGCCACCTACAAGCTCCTTGCGACAAAAGACACCCACACTGAAACAAAATGGATGCGAATGGTGCCAAGGAGCTGGTCGATGCTGCTGATGCTGCTGAACCTTGGTCTGTGGAGTCTACGTTTGCCTGGCTGGCAGCTTCTACGAGCAGGGCAAATCCCAACCGGCTCTGCATCACCATTGAGCCACGAAGCGATCGACGACAACCGCGATCCCATCTCTCTCGCCATCTTTGCCACGCTGGCGATGGACGAAAACTTCTGGGCAGCACTTGCAAGAGTCTGAGTCTCAGACCTTGGGTCGGAACACTTGGGGTTCCAAACTCGTTGAAAAATGTTGACATCACCGGGCGCAAATAGCCTCTCTGCTCTCTCGCAAGGCAGCCGAGGATCTGAGAAGCCTCTGAATACTGCGGCGGCCTCAGGCAAGGCTGAAAGAAGCAGGTAGTATCTGGATCCTTCAGAGATTTGTGCAAGACTCTAAGTCCCAAGTCTCTCGCTCGAGTTCTGCTGGGTAGTCTGTGACCTCCTCCTTCACCGCAGCCAGGGGAATTGCCTTCGCCGCAGCCACGGGAATTGCCTGAGAACATTACTGGGCTGCCAGGCATTTGTGTCTTAAGACTTGCTGCAGACTAATCAACATCCAACATTACCCACAATGACGATGCTTTGAAACAGTGTAACCAGACTGCATCCAAAAAGGCTGTCAAGCGAAAGTCGGCGCCTTGAGGGTGGAGGCTGGCTCTGCTGCTGAGGTTGGCTCTGCTGCTGTGGTTGCCGCGGCTGCAGCCTTCGGCTTCGCCGTTGGCAGCTTCTTTCCTATCTTTCCTGCTGTTTGCTTTGCTGGGGGCTTTGCTGGTGGCTTTGCCGGCGGCTTTGCCGGCGGCTTTGCTGGCGGTTTCGCCGCCGGAGTGGCCGCCGTAGAGGGTGGCGTTGGTGGCGGCTGCGGATTCGGTGCCACTTGCAGCTTCGCTGGCTTCGACTTCGCTGACGGGGCCTCGGCAACAAAAACGCACAACGCACAACGCTGCGTTGCTTGGTAGTTGCCTTCCCAGGCCATACCCACAACATCCCCACAAGGCAGGCGGTTACCAAAATGCTTTTTCCTTGGTGTGGAAACATGACTGGGGCCTTTTCCGACCTGTGCAAGCTACTCTTCCTGCTTGAGCTGGAGCGTCCCAGATCAATTGGCCGGAACGGACAGAACAGAACGGACACACCCCGTATCTTGCATCGTCATGCAGTCATAAGCATGTAGGGTTCTGGCCGAAACTGCAGAGACAAAAAACACTAGACAGCGAGCTTGAGGCAACATGAACTCACCACTGCTTCGCGCAATGTGTGAGCCCTGCTAAGGAAGGGGCCTTTGAAGGCGGCGGACGACTTGGCCTGAGCATGGCGGCACAGATTGCCTGTTGATCATCTGTTGATCCCAATAAAGTCACACGTACTGGGAGGTTCATAAGTAGTGAGAAGTCAGGTGGTATAAGTACGGAAACTAGACTTATAACCCTACTCATACCCACGAAACCTCCAAGTAGTCAGGGGCTGAGGTGAAGATCAATCTCCCGAGAGCCTCAGAGCCGATGGCCGCGAGTCATTCTTGGCAGGCGGCGGCGGTGGCGGTGGGATGATCTGCCAGGTCAGGCCGAAGACATGCCAAGAGCCGTTTTGGAACCCGGAACTACTCTGAAAAACAGGGGGAAAAAAACTCCAAGGAGCGACCTGGAGCCACCGCGCCTTGGGTGTAGTGGTCGTGGGAGACTTGGGTGTCGTCGTCGGAGCTTTCGGTGTGGTTGTCGGAGCTTTGGGTGGCCTGAGCAAGGCTTCAAGTTGGGTTGGGAGTTCAAGGCACACGACCGCACACGACGGCACTTCAGCAGGCAAAGTCGCGAGGAGCCCGCCTTGACGACCGCTTGGTGACAACCATCGGGTTGTCTGGGTTTGGGGTCGCCGCAATTTTGGCGGGCACCACGGTACCTCCTTTGGAGAAGCAGCCATTCATGGCAGGCCAGGTCCGGAGGTCCGGTGAAGGGAAGAGCCGGAAGATCTAAGAAATTTTACCTTGGATCCTGAAGGTTGTGAGTTGTGACCCTTGGGTTTTGGGGGGGGGGGGGGGGCCTTTTTTCAAGATCCTTGAGGTAGTATAAGGGCCATATGAGGAGTATGTTAAGGGGAACCTGTAGGGGTACAACCTTAGGGTACGAGCCTTAATCCCCTGAAAGACTGTGCAATCAACCAATGCGATCAGCTTGCCGCTACCCGTCGCACTGATACTTGCTGTGGTGTTACCTTCGGCTTCCGGGCGGTGCAGGAGCAAAACACGCTTGAAAGTTGTTTTCAATTCAGCAAGTTGAACAGTCGCGCCCTTTATGCAGAAGTGAACATTTAGTTTGTCCCATACATCATGAGTTACCTCAGAGCCGAGATTGGGCATGCATTTGCATTCCATCGTGGGCCCGGTATGCCGGGCACTTCCGCTCCGAAGCTCCGAAGGAACATGCGTTTCCATGCTGGCACAACGGATTTCAGCCAGCGGCAAGACCGTGTTGAGGCGCACGTATGCCTCCGACGTGGCGTGGACAGGGCAACAAGCTTTCACAGACAGAGGCCAGCCTGCCCACTTCGGTCTCCAATGTCTTCCAGGATCCAGATTGCCTTCCAAAGCGATGCAAGTCGTTCGCCAGCTACAGGTCTGCTCCTGCTGCTATCTCATGGCCTCCTGGGCTGCTTGGAGCGCTTCTGGGTACTGCTTCGTGGCACAGCGCAAAGCAGCCTTGGCTGAGCACGAAGTGCGAGGCACGCCACGCAAGTTCACAGAAAGATCTGCTCGGCAGTCTGCCACCTTACGGAACCCCGCGTGACTTGGGTGGGACCCACGCCACAGAGTGCAGCATAACAGCCTCCCAGGGTAGGTCCTTGCATGGAGGGCTTTGCATGGCTTTGCTGTGCCATGGGCTGAATCACTCGACATCAATGTGCCGCACCTCAAGATCCTTTATGATCTCCAGAGCCTGAAGAGCATTGTCGAGGGCCTCGCCAGGGGCAAGAGACTTCAAGAGATGAACATCTTGACATCTTGCCACCCTTGCCCACTCGTAATAAGATGCCAAAGCCGGAAAATCCGGGGGCGGACCTCTCCAGGTCTTCTCATGTTGTACAGAACCGAAGCGATCTGATCCAAAGCAACCGCCTGGCGGGCAGTCCATGATTTGCATGTGCCTCCTGTACCCTGATTCAGATCGAACTCCAACATGCTGACGACTCGTGCCGCAAGTCCTCGCCACGCTTGTAGCGCTGACCCCGAAACCTGGGAGGTCTGGGTGCATACTCTGTGCAGACACAGGCTGGACGAACCCCAAGGCAAGGGGCTGCTCCAGAGCGGACTCTGCTACTTCGATGCCCTTCTGATCGTTCTGAGCCGTACCTCGGTGGTCTCTCGAATTTTGGACACCAAAAACTCCCCCAGTAAAGTGGCACCCTGTGGCTTAAGGCTTGGCCGGCGGCAGTGTGCCTTGACCAGCAGCCGCAAGGCATTGGACCTCGACAACACGAGATGGGTTGCAACACGGCGCCACCTGGTGCAACATGGTGCGGCACTCCGCACTTGGAGATTCATAAGGGCACATAGAACCCTGCTTATAGCTACCCATTAACTCTGGCCATGGAGGGCCACTGCAAACTGAACCTGAGATCCTTCAGATCCTCTGGTCACAAAGTCTCTGTCAAAGGCAAGCGCTGCCCTGCCAAGCTGTTCTTTGCCCGGTAGATGGCCATCGCATCCTCTGCGGCCTGTTGCAAACAAAAACTCCTTCTAAGATGCAAAGCCATCGGCCACAAGCAAGCTTCCCAAGTTCCGGCTCTATGTTTTTTGTCACACAAGGGGCTCGACTGCCCCTATACTGCCTGCAACATCTTCATGTCATCCTGCGCAAGACGGGCGGCGAAGCATATATATCATGCGCACCCGCATGCTACTCGCATCTACTCGCATGCTACCCGCATGTAACCAAACATCCTTGCACAACCTGTGGAACTCGGCAAGGCTCATGAGCTCTGCAGCCTGGCACACGAGAATAGTTCAAGGGCACCAATCAAGCCGAGGGTCAGCAGCAGTCGGCTCCTTTCCGCAAGCATGCGAGCTCTGCCCGTCACTGCCTAAAGCACGGCCCCACCTAACGCCGCAGCCGCCTCAGTTTTAGCCACCGACCTCCGAGTCGGAGTCGACGTTCTAGCAATGACTCGCGGGATCCGCCTTCCCATCGGACATTCCTCTAGCTCCACCAATGCCCACTGCCAACTTCGAGAACATGCGGGGGACCAGCTGCCCAACACTTCCCTGCGAACGTGAGCAGGGATCTCTCCCCGTCCCCCGGAACTCCGTGATGTGAGAAACTCCATCTGCTCCTGCCAATTGCACACCACCACCTCTTGAAAGACCTGCATGCTTTCGACGATGGCCTCTCCGGAACCATAATCCAACAGCCGCATCTGATGCGGCATCACATTCATCAGCCTACTGCTGATGCGGCAAGTGCGGTAGTGCGTCTAGGCGCTGCCTTTCATTTGAAGTTGTCACAACTTTGCGAAACTGCTGCTGATATTGTGGAATGTATCACGTTGGCAGCTTGCCGGAAGCGAAGGCACCAAGCCACTCCAGACCAGAAGAATCCATCCACAGAATAGAAGTGCAATGGCTTGAGGTCTTGCTTGTCTGCAGACTCGATGACATACTCGTACTGCAGCAGCACTGCTTTACGAGACCCGTGCTTCAGCATTCCTTTGCAAGGAGTCACGCTGAGAGGGGCATCCCAGAGGGATATCTGGGAACCATCTGGGAGGGGGGCACCTTTTCGAAGGGGGCATCTAGGAGGGGGCGGGCTAAGATTGAGTCGCATGACCGAAACAGGTGCTGTCACATGTCTAGGTATCGCTACATCGGGCTTCGTCACAGGCCACGGCCACAGAGACGAACTGCTATCCTAATGGTACCAGATGTATGGGGTGTATTTTTGGAATGATGCTGAAGAGGGCGTAGGTCGTCTGTTCCCTGTAGCAGGCAGACGCTGCCATGTTGAGACATCTGTTAATCCGAAACTGACCAAGCATCTCAATCGTTGCCAAACTCGGTTGTCCAGTACCAAGATGTCCCCGGCCAGAACAGACACGTGGGCCAGTGAGACCTGCACAGGCTTTGTCCAGCACTCACGGATCAAGCTTCCGAGTTTACTTGCATGGGGACGTTGCGCAGTACGGTGCATGGCAATAGGTGGCCATATGTGCTTGAATGCCTAGGACAAAAAAATCGCTGGCGTTGACGTGGAAAATGTCGAAAGTATGGTCACAGTATGTCAATCACTTTGGTGGGATCCAGTGAATCCCACGGCTCTAACCCCCCGAAACCCTAAACCCTAAACCCTATAACCCCAAAATCCTAAACCCTAAGCCCTAAATTTAAAGCAACTTTGCCTCTTGCAAGTTCCAGCTTTGGAGGTTCTTGTGGGAGCCTGTGATCACCTCCAGCTCCGCCAAGCCTGGGGTCAGATCCACCAAGGGCAGCACCACCTTACTCGCTGAGCACACAAGAGCCAACAAAGAATTGTGCACCTTCAGTCGGCGATTCTAGTATGAGCTTATAAGCCCCAAAGAAGTGTACATAAGTGTACACTTTCAGTTCCGATAGGAGATGATTCGGATGATAGTCTCTCAAAGAGGGTCAGATGTACTCTTTCGGCTACTAAGCCACTGAGATGCCCTCGGCGGATCCCGTTGAAAAGCTCGCTTCCCGCTCTGTCCAAATCGTTGAGGCGGCACCGGAGTCTGCCCACAACAGCGACGCACGCTTGAGCACCATGGGCGAACCCTGCCCAGAATGGTCAGGACTGTCTGGGGAAGCGTCTGCACTCCCACCTCCCACGCTGCTCTCCGCGGCGGTTTGCGAGTGGACAAGAAGAGGCAGCCACAGCTTCTCGACAGAGCGCATGATGGCTGCTGTCAAGGCCTGAGACTCAGAGGGCTTCAGTGGGTCGTGATCGCTGCCGACAAGTTGCAGGATGCATCGAAACACTGCCGGACACAGGTGAGTACTAAGGAGCGAGCTAAGTCAGGCAAGCGCCAAGTAGCATCCGTGCTCAGCAAGTCGGTTGAATCGTTGCTGCTGTGCCAGGATGCGCTGTACACTTCCTGCATCAAGCTGGCCACGTCTGGCATGACCCCCTCTTCAGTGAGCTCGTCTCTGTGGTAGAAGCACCATTGGTGCCACCCGCCAGGCCCTCTGGGCATCTGCTCGCATGAACTTTCGTCGATCTCGGCCTTCTTTCCGAAAGCCAGAGGGCCAAAGAGAAGCAACGACAGAGCCGACCCCCAGGGGCCAAAGCGAGAATCCTCCCCATTGCTAGGCTGGTCCGTGGAGCCAGCTGCAGCCCCTTGAGCCTCTTGAGCCTCTTTTTCCCTCCCCCTGCCCTCCCGCGTGTCCCGCGTGTCCCGCGTGTCCCGCGTGTCCCGCGTGTCCCGCGTGTCCCGCGTCCCTGCTCCCATCGACCAGCTTCTGCTGAGCTCCTCCGGGTCGAAGCGCCGTCGCAAGAAGGGCGTGTGCTGACCAATCCTGCAAAACTTGGGCTTACCACACATGTGGTTGTCTAATATGTTTAACTTAGTCTGTTCTTGTCTACCACTTGCGTTTTTGAACCAAGGGCTGCCTATCGACCTACACATGCTTCGCATGATCGTTCGGGTTCTTGTCAGATCGCCACGTCCTCGAGCAGGCTGCATCAAGCAGTGCCTTCAGTGTCGGATGCTGCATGGACTGCATGACCGACACCAGATAGCCAGAGGATTCGCCTACCAAAGCCCCCGCCAAGAAGGATCCGGGAATGAGCAGAGGCATCGAGATGGCAGAACCAACAGCCGCCCCGAAGACATCCAGGTTTAGGCCGCCCGCAGGGGTGAGCAAGGAACGCCCCTGGAAGGTGATGCCAGCAAGGATGTTGGCAAAGGGCTTGCACACCTCTTGTCCCATGTCCCGACGCAGGGGCACCCTTTCGGGCACCACGGCCACACCGTACAGGCCAAGACATCTGCCAAGCACTTCTGCCGAGTTGGAGCTCGTAAGTCGCAGCAGGGCCGCAGTGTGCTTTTCCTGGCCTTGCCAAAGCTCCTCTACATCTGACTGCCGCCTGTAAAGCAGATAGCCAGCCCCGCATGCCCCACCCACTGCCGTGTGGACCAGCAAGCGCCTTCCATACCTAACAGCCTTCCTCATGTGCTCAAAAGCCTGTGCTCACAGAAGCACTGCCAAGTGCCGACCCTGCTTGCATGGGTCATGGCCATACGGCAACCACAAGCCATCTTCCAAAGCTGGTATTATTGGCGAGTCGAGCCTCTGGCTGCAGGATGGCAAGCACGGAGCCGACGTGGAATTTGAGGCGCAGTGAGATGTCCCACAAAACACTCACTGAAGCCAGAATTGTGGTGCACGGCCTCTTGACAAGCCAGTCCAAGCTCGCTGAGGATGGCACAAGCCTGCACAGAAAGTGCTTGTGAGCTACCTATGTTCTGAGACAAGAATGTCATGCCGCATGCAAGTCGGATGCCTCGCTAGAACACCGAACCGCCTGGCCACTGCACCGTGAGTCAAGCACTTGGCCGACGCGAGAGAAGCACTTGGGAGCCCCATGCAGGCAGCCGATGCCTCCATCACCTCGTTGTTCAGGCTGGCTGCCACAGCAACGAAGTGCAGCGCCTCACGCATCAACGCGTCGCACAAGGCCTGCGAATGGCGCCATCATCTGAAGCTGTCCCTACGAGCCCGACACCTTAGCTTCTCCCTTCCTGTCCCCGACCTGCTTGAAGGCCTGCGCAGAAGTGCAAGATGAAGTGTGGCATCCACAGGCCCGTTCTGACTACACCCGATGCAGCAACGAAGGATAACGAAGGGCAAACAAAGAAAGAGCAGTACATGAGCACATGTGGCACATGCAGCCGCCCGGGAACCTCCACTCCAGCCCGCGCTGCCCGCAACATGTTGTCGCCCTTCTGCGTGTTCTCGTAGCTGCGTGCCTGTCCGGACTAAGGCAGATGCTGGCACTTCACTGCCAAGTGCCGCTCGCACGCTGCCAAGTGCCAACTCCCAAGGCCATGGCTAAAGTGACGAGTCCTTCAGCCTGCACAGCGCGGCCGGGCAACGAGCATTTGCATGGCGTTGCATGGCGTCGACCCCCCCTGGTCATGAGACTCTGGTCCCACACGCCGACGCCTCCCAGGCACGGTCCTTGAGCTGCTGCACCTCAGATGTGTCTCCCCATTCACTGCTTTGCTGAACAGCATGTTGAAATCCTTGAAGGTCGTTTCGGCTCGCACATCTGGAGAGCAAGAGAAGCTTTGCCTGATATTGGTGCTGCTAGTTCTTTGTACCAAGTACCCACTAGTAGAGTAGTAGAGTAGTAGATGGGCCGAGGCCCCTCTCGGCCCGGCACCACGGCAAGGGCGCTCTTTGCAAGAGAGATGACCTGCGCCATCCGCCATCCCGAGAAAAGCCCCAAAAAAGGCCCAAAGAGCGCAACCCAAACCCCAAGAATCTGTAATTATCTGTAATTCTTCAAGGCTTCAGACATCTCTCACAGGGGGACAAAGCTTCTACGGAACGCGGACCTCCTTTGGTCTGACTGCCTGCATCAGCTTCAGGTCCACCAAGGCCATCATCATTGCAGCCTGCATTGTCGCTGACACGCGCCACAGCGACATGATACTATTGAAGGAGGGACCCCTAGAAGGGACCCTCAATCTTATTCCACTTATATAGTCCCCATAAGGCTAAGTAGCCCCCAAATAACCCCTGCATTGACCCCTAAGGTCCCTTGTAAGGGTCCCTCCGTAAGGTCCTTGATGCTGAGAGCACCAGCCTCTCCTAACTTGTTGCCGTTGTCCCGACACCTCTCCAGCTCCTTCCAGTGCGCAGCACGCATCATCCAGGAGAAGGGCAAAGTGCCGTGACAGAACGAAACCCCACGCTTGAACAGTTGTGCTCCGACAAATGCTTTGGAAGCCCCTGTACAGCGAAGGCCCAAAGAAAACGGATGCTTGACTGGCAGGCGCCGATCATCCGGGTGGATTTCTTTTGCTCGAAAGCAGCGCTACAACTAGTTACTCCCACCAGCGCGGTAGGCTTGGAAGCAAATCGATGCCAAATTGAGAGGCCAATATCGGGCGGCCGATCACAAAGTACCCTGCAAAGGTTGAGAAGACATTCAAGAACAGCCAGGCTCCAATGATTTGAAGCCTTGCTCCAAGAGCAACGCCGATTGGTCCGGCATCAACCTTGCCCCCAGAGCGGCATTTCTGCAACAGATCCTCCACTAGCTCCCGGTTAGTTGCTAGCCACGTCCCCCCTGCAAAGCAGTTGAAGATCGTGTCGATCGCCTTGTCGCTGCGAGCACCTCGCCCTTTCAGGCGCGCGCGAAAGCCCTCGCGGTCGATGGATCCCGCATTGCCAGGCCAAACGGTGTTCATGTCGCAGAGCTCCAAGACCTGTTCTGTTTCACCTTCTGGGATCGAGACATCAAGTGCCCATGAGAATGGCTCATAGCTGTACTCGGAATTCCCTGCAGGCCGGAGGGTCCTGGCGCGGAGTCTCGGGGTCCGAAAGGTGCTCTTGGCTGCCACGAAGCTGCTTGCAGATCGCGACGTGAGAGAGACCACGGCTGAGAAACAGAGTGCTGCTACGAGGACTCGGCCTGCCATGACAACCGGTGTAGTTGCCCTCTGAACGCGTGTCAGACGTTTGAGCCAAAGCTTCCGTCTCTTCCGTTCCGTACACCTTTGTAGCCATGCATTTGTTTTACAAAATTTGCCTAGGGCAGCGAAAGGCCTCAGAGGCTCGGTTGTAGGCTGCATCCAACTCGTCCCGGCCCTGGGAGCATTTGAAAGTGGCTCAAGCAGCTGTCGCCTGTTAGCAAAGACTTTGAGATGCAGCTCTACCAGACTTCAGCTGGAGGCAAGCTCTTTAGACGGCGCAGGCTCTTCCCAGCAGCGGTCTGGCTTCAGGACATTTGGGGGACCTGTGCAGAGCGTCCAGCATGGAGGCGCCTCTTCAAGGTCGCCGCGCGCCGGAAAAAAAGCAAGCAAGATCCGGGCAGGTCTTTGTGACGTGCAGGGCTCGCTCTCCTCTGGAAAGCGGAGCTATTCTCAGGGTTTGCCAGAGGGTTGGCTTGTATGCTAGAGGGTATGCTAGAGGGTATGCACGCCGGAGGCAGCATGCTAGAGGTCATGCTACATTGCTTACTAGAGGGCTGGCTTCAGGGGCCATGCTAGCTAGAGGTCATGCTGGAGTCTGCATGCTCACTCTCTGCAGGCTCAGCAGTCGCCACGTCGCCGGCTGGCGGCTCGATCCAGAGTGCTCTGGATCTCGCTCTTCATGGTGGACAGCTCCTCGTCCGTCAGGCTCTGCTTCTCATGCACAACCTTGTTGAGGGCCGGTGTATCCGGCATACAACTGGGCACTCGAACAGGCCGAGCGGCGGATCAGTTGTGCTTGCAACAGCTCCCAGGCCGTAGAGCTCCAGGGAGGAGATGGTGAGGTCCTTCTCATCCTCCGGAGGCTGCCAGAGCATTTCCGGGCAGGTATAGCGCACCCACGCGTGCAAGAAGCGCTCCAACAGAGAGCCCTTCGAGTTTGTCGGAGCCTACACCGTGTCCTGCCGTGAAGCACGACCCGTACATGCCGACGCCCCTGGCCGGAGCTCCTGCCTCCAGCAGCACTGGCTGGCCAGTGCTGCTCGAGGCAGGAGCTCCGGCCAGGGGCGTCGGCATGTACGGGTCGTGCTTCACGGCAGGACACGGTGTAGGCTCCGACAAACTCGAAGGGCTCTGGCCCTGTGCAGGGAAGGAGCGCCGCAGCCGCCGTCTCAAAAACGTGTCTCGCGGCTCCGGCGAGACTGCCTCCGGCGAGAGTGCCCCGTCCAGCGACGGCGAGGCGCGGGCTCCTTCTCCGTCCCTCTGCTTCTTTCTCGGAGGCGTGCTGAAGGCCAGCGGAGCATCCTCCTCCATCGGCGCCGCTGACGACGAGGAGCCAGGCGGTGCACTTGGGAGCGTCACGTCCAGCATCTCCTTCGTGGAAGGCGGTGACCGCAGGAGCATGTCGAGGACTGAGTGGCCCCTGTCCTTAGCAGGGGTCTCCGGCTGGGTGGGCGACTCCTGCGACTCTGGATCCATCTGTGTCGGGGCCACGCCTATCTGCGATGGCACGTCCAGGGAGACCGGGTTCTGCGAGGCATCCATGGCTACAAGCAGAGCAAACCCCAGCGATTCTCTCGCTTCGCGGACAAAATGTCCTCAAAGCGTCTACTTACTTTGACATGTGACTGTGTTCAAATGGGCTCTACACCGCCGTCTACTGCCTTCCTGCTGTAACCTGCTGGAACGCTACTCGGCTGGATTGACATGAGGACTCCTCTTGGTGCATGAGAGAGGAAGACGAGGGGAGCCTGCCTGGTAGGCAGACACGATGCATCGCAGCGCCCGGGCAATGCCACTCCTGCGTGCAGCGTGTACTACCACCACCAAAAGGGCCAGCGGCACGACGCAGGACGTGGCAAGACCGGAGCAGCCAGCGACAATCTCAGGCCTGTCTCCAATTTCTCTAAACATTTGCAGGGCATCCGCTGCTGCCTCGGATCGGCATGACGTCATCACGACTGTCACAGCAGCGCATTTAATGTGCCCTCATGCCCTCGCACTCGCTGAGCTACCGGACCCTTTCAGCTGCCTCACACAAACATGGTTTGCACCCGCTTGTTCATGCATTCGTCGGTAGAACACGCTTGCAGGAGCACGGCCGCGCCTGAAATGCCTCTTCATCGCACGCCTCTTCTGCTTCTTTTAGAAGCGCCCTAGCCTTGCACCCAGAGCACAGGCTTCGTACGTCTTCGTACGAAGGGCCAGTCCCAGTGTATCCAGAGCTGCTCGCGGCTCTGCATGTCCCTGCATGTCCCTAGGCATGTCCCTGCATGTCCCTGCATGTCCCTTGCCTCTTTCCCAACCTGCGCCCTGTTTTCATCCAGGGAGTCCAGCTGGGGCGTACCATCCTGAAAGTCAGGTAGCATGCGGTCACGAAGACAGAATTCACCCGGCCGACATCTTAGGGCACGGACGTCTGCAAGATCACAAAGTGAGATGTTGCGCCTGATGACCTTTGGGCCAACACACCAAGCCGAAAGGTGTGAGGATGACGAACATCTGGCCAGCAAATGCCAGACGAGTACCCCCTCTCTATGTGCCGAAATCTGTGTTGGGCTTTGTGCAGCATCTGCATGATTCAGCGAAACCGGCCTATCGCTGCTAGAGGGCCTATTGCTGGGGTTTAGGTTTCGCCCTGCCTAGCCATTTGCTGCCGTTCTTGTGAGTGTTGGTGCCCCGTGTTAGTGGATCAGTTGGTCCTACACACTGGCTACAGAGGTGAGGATGCTCGGCTCAAAGGCGACTTCAAGTCTCTCCAAGAGCACTTCGGTTACACGGGCTGCCAGGTGCAGCTCCTGCTTTTGAAATGAAAGCGGTTAGTCTTTTCGGGGATTCTTACAACACAATGCTTGCTGGAGCGCAGCTGCCACCTACATACGTGCCCACCTACATCTGCGCCTCTACAGCTGCCACGTAGCCACCGTATGATACCCTTGCTCTCCTCCGTGCCCCGCGCCTTGGGAGTTGCGGCCCTGGGGGAGCGCAGCGGCCGCGGAGATGCGAACGGAGAGGCAGAGCGCGGCGGCGCCATGGAGGCTCAAGGCTCTTTTTGGCACGCTCGAACTAAGTCTGCACAGAAGCCATGATACGTCTAAACTTCGGTGGCAGAACAAAGGAACGCAGTGCGATATACTTTTGATTGATGTGCCGAAGATTGCAGAAGCTACTGAGGCTAAGTTCATGCTACCTGAAGTGATGTCAGGTCTGGTTTCTCTGCTCCAAAGCATGATTGTCCAAAAGCTCTTGTGCTCTGCTCCTACTGGCGAGCCTGAAACCAGGTGTCAGTGAAGACAGCCGATGCCACCAGAAGCTTTCTTGCTTGCGGTATCGTGCATGTGTCTTTGCCCATGCATTTCGTCTTTTTTCACATAGTGGATCACAGGTCCTTGTCCCTGGGCCCCCTCAGCGGCGCAATGAGGCCTCAAAGGGAAAGTAGCTTCCAAAACAACGGCCACGCCCTGGCAAGGGTGGGCAAACCTTTCATGGGCACTGGCGTTGGGCTATGCTCTCCTCGAAGGCTTCCTGGGAGAAGCGATGTCCTCGGTGAGCGCCGAGATCGTGCTGCCACATGACCGGCAGCGCACTCGAGCTGAGGCTTCTGCGAACTGCCTCCCGTGCTGCCTTGGCGATTTCGAGTCGCTCTGCTGTACCTGAAACCACGCACTGGCCGTTAGAAACCGGCCAATCTTGTGCTGCAAATGTCGCACTCGTCTCGTCCAGAGCTTCGCGAAGTTTGAGTGCATAGTCTTCGTCATCCTGGCACTGCACCCATGCCACCCAGCGAAGTTCGCATGAAGAGGACAGCAGCGAGAGACAGATTGTGCATCTGTTAGACGCTCGCAACACCAGCAGCGATTAGCCCTGTGCCTCAAAAATCTAGCAAACGCTCAGATGATCTGAGGCCGTCACATTCGCAAGAAAGCCCGTCCGCCGTCCATCAGACAAGGGCGTCACCTGGTCTGCAAGAAGGGGGAGAAAAAGGCCACAAAGGGCTCCAAAGAGTAGGGACACAGCTATCAAGGATGCGGCTATGTCCATGGCAGGCCCAGCCGAGTTGTGCGCGATGACCTAAGCCGCCCGAGCTCAGGGGAGCGCAAGAGGCCATTCAAATAGGCTCCTTCAATCATCCGCACCCACTGAAGTCAGACTGAAGCCAGCAAGAACAAGGGCTGTCTCGGTCTTGATGCAGCATTAGTACTAAGATTAAGGTCTCAAGGTTCCAAAAGCTGGGTTCATTAACAGGTGCACTTTGTTTCGTTCACACGCATCAATTGCAATAGCACGCGTCCTTCGTTCCGCGTCTATTAACACAATGCGTTCTCACTTCACCTTTTGCCCCGGGTGGTTACTATGAATGCATGGGCTTGGTTCAGCAGACAGCCATGTGCAGTAGCTACGTTGCGACGTAGCAATGACAGAGAAGGCTGATGAACGAACAGGAAATTCACGAGCACAACCTGGATTCGCGGGCCTGGAGCTGGGGATGAATTTAAATTTCGCCAAAAGGAAAGGCAAGGTCGGCAAGGTCCATCCAATGAAGAGCTGACACCCCCTAGTCAGGAAGTAAACACCAAACGTGGTGGGAAATGACTCGTTTTTACTAGTTTAGGCTACGTGTGGGGGTTTTTTTGCCTGAGTGGCATAGCTGGGGAAGAGTGGGGGTCCTTTCAGCACTACTCCTGGCTTCTGGTGGTGGTAACCCGCTTGTTTTGGTTTGTCCTCGCGCCCCCCTCAGAAGTGGGGGTGGTTCTAAGTTGTATAGCTGACGTTCATGGCGAGTCCCCACCAAGGGTTGCTAACCCTCTTCTGGTTGTATACTGCGCACGCGCGCCCACCCCCATCCCCCTGCTCCCCGACCCCATCTCCCCCCGGTAGTGTGTTGGGGACCGTAGAGCCGGAAAGTTGACCTGGGGCCACAAAGCTAGCCTTGCTTCGGGCTGGCACTCTCATGTTAGCTTGTCATTATAAGGCATCAAGCCCATGGCCACTGCACCAGCAGCCATGAACTCCACCACCGAAATGCCGAAGTGCTCGTCGCGCATGGTGTGCAAACCTGACGACCCACATGCAAACCCCAACGGCGTAGATTAGGGCGACTGAGGACACTGTTCCAAGCTCTTGGGCCGAGGCCGATGTCGGCCTGAGACAACAAGGTCTGCATCTCCTGAGGGTTTAGGGTTGAGGGTTTAGGGATGATCCTAAGTGTCACTGTTCAGCTTGTGCGGTGTGCAGACACGCAGCGCAATCCTGGCACCGCTTGGCTAAAGAGCCCTTTGCAGTCCTTCAAGGGCACATTCGTCCTGAAGCTCACCTCACCAACACTGAGCCTAAACTTCCTAAACATCTTTGCAAAAACAGCTTAAAACGCGACCTTGCCCAAAGTGGCTCAACAGGGAGAGGGAGAGGGAGAGTGGGAGTGGGAGTAAGAGTGAGAGTGGGAGAGAGCGTTTGCGAATTCAATTGTTAAGGCATATATCGTAGCATTCCGTCATATTTAGATTTAGATACGGCTAGCTGAAGCTACTCAACAGAGCAGATGGGGCCCAGGCGTCCCAGTCGCCCTCGGTCTCGGGACCTTCCTCACGTAGACCGAGCCTGACCGATGCGGCAAATTGAGAGATCGTCTCAGACCTCGATGAATGAAGAGATAGGTTTGTTTGCCATGTTCGCTGTGATGGGAAACAGCGACTGCGAAAAGGACGGGGCATGCCCAGGCATGACAGCGTATGACCGTTTAACCGTCATTTAACCGGGCATGACCGCCGATAACCAAGGGCGTACTGGGGCATTCGGGCGTGCTCGGGAGTACTCGGACACACGCCGGAGGCAGTTTTCTGAACGTGGCCGCAATGATGCTCTATACACACTTTGAAGCTGCGGAGTTTGCACTTCGTGACGTTCATACCCGTGAATTCGTGGTTGGCTGCCGTTGGCGCGCAGTGAAAGCCATCAACCCGTGGGCGGCAAGATGGGCACCGTACAGGTATGGCGCCGGAACCGAGGAAAGGATAGAAAAAGACACATTGTGTCTTCTCTGTCAAAGGATTCCAAACAAAATGGAACGAAGTTCGAACGAAGCCACGACTACGAGCCCCCGGCTCGCCGCACAACTTCTGCAAGCCCTGGACCCGGCGACGGTCTGCGGCATCCCGGCCTGCCCACGGCCCGCTGCAGTCCAGAGATTCACAGCACGTTGGTCAGTTCTGGTAAGTTAAGCCCTGAGTACCTGACAGCCTCCTGCAAGAATAAGCCGCACAGCTGCACTTCCGCCGCCTTTGGCTTTTGCGTGCTAGAAATGGCGACGTGCTATGGCACATCTTTTGACCGCTCCCCCTGCAGCATTCAGCCAAATCACTTGGCAAACTGCACATTCATCCCAGGCCCAAGCTTTTCGTCTGGTTCTTGTACCTCGCAAAGGACCTCAGCCTGGGCGCCAAACAGATGTTTCATGATTTTGTCAGTAGAGCCACCAAAAGTATCTGATTCTGGCAAAGGCTTGGTAGCCGAAATAACCATATTATCATCGGGGAACCCTTTTGGGGGGTTGGTTACTTCATACGGGAACCTTGTACAAAAAAGAAGGTGAAGAGTACCACTGGGCTACTGTAAGAAGGTGCGAACCGAATCGTTGCATCACGCCATGTCCCTGGCTGGAGGGCATGGTTCTTCTCCGGTCGAAACCTTTGCTTTCCACCAGAGGCTCTCATGCACCAAGAAGTTGCCATCTCCAAATCTCCCAAGTTTCGGGCTGAGCAAGAGAAAGCACCAGCTTGCCAGAGAAGTCCTGCAGACGGTGGCTTCCTCTCATCAACCGTCTGCTCCAGTTGGCATCCGGCCGGGCCAGGCACTTGTTGTGGGTGTGTTTCTGGGGTGCTTGACTGTGTTTTGCATGTGCAGGCGTGGCGAGAGCATAACACGGGCACGCGAGCGGCATCATCTCGCAGCATGCAAACTGCGAACTCGATACCGTTTCTGTTTCTACTCCTCTCATCCTCCTTTGCTTCTGTGGGAATGAAAGGCAAGGTCCGGGGGCGCCGACCCCTGTCTCTCTTCCTTCCTTCACCGCCCAAATGGGCGTGTCTCTCTCTCTCTCTCTCTATCTGCGTTTGTCTTCTCCATCCTTCTCTCCCTCTCTCTTCCTGCCCTCCTCTCTCTCCTTGTCTGGCCCGCAAGCAACCGAACCGAAGTGCGCCCGGTCTCAGGTCAGGTCGCCAGCCCTTTCTCTCCATCCCTCTGCTTCTCTTCTTCTTCTCCTTCGCCGCTCGGTCGAGCGCTAGGGCTGCCAAGGCCGCCTCGGTCCAGGTGACACATGTCGAAATAGCGCGCCACGCGATGGATATCCTTCCTGATGTAAGCTTGCGTAGTAGGGCACTGGCTGTGTCACACGGCGGATACACTGTACAAGTTCTGTCTGGCCTCGGTCGGCAGCTTACTAGGCCCCGCGAACATTCGTGAGCTTCTGCTCTTCTGTTGCAGCAGTCCTTTTCGGGACAAGAAACGCCCTGTGCCCTTGAATCTCACAACCTGCAGCTCTGCTTCCTTGCAAAAAGTGTCCTTGAGTCCATACTTCAGGGATGACTAAAAATGGCCCGGACTCTGCACATGATACACAAGGGCCACGAAAAAGCTATGAACCGCTCTCTCAACCTCTCGTCAACCTGCAACAGCAAGGCAAAGCTCCAGGCATAGCCCACAAGGCATCGATGTGACCGCGAGTCCATGAAGAGTTGACTAGGACAACCTCAAACTCGGCCGCCCGAACTTCCTGGAACGCTTGTGTATTCCTGTAGCTTTGCCGAGGCCCTCGCATCCGCAGACTTCCTCGGACAGCATAATTCCCCGTTGGGTTTGAGGGTGCTTGCTCGGTGCCAACAAGAAGCCCGGCCAAACCATACAGCGCGGCGAAGGCTTTGTAGTACAGCCTGCGCTGGTTTAGATGGCACCAGGCGCTTCGGTGACAGGATGCTGTAACGGAAGCATGCCAGAAGCGCAGCTTCGCCGCTGAAAGCATGTTAGAGCGTGCCACCATGGCATCATTGCACACAGCATCGCTTCCTCGGCTAGAGTCTAGAGCCTTCAGGGAGCCACGCCGTCACGAGTCAGATGACACGGAGGCATCTGAGGCCCCCACTTCGGCCACGCACCTGGGAGGAGAGATGTGGGGCTGTCTTGTGCCAGAACTGTGCAATTGCGCGATTGCGAACCCACCTGCTCTAACATGTCTGTCGAGATGGTTGGGTAGTGAACCTGAGCTGACAGCACGCTCTCGCAGGCTGAGATAATATGGCTTTTGCAAGGCTCTACGGCGTCGCGTGTCCTGACTGGCAGCCATGCCACATAGCATCCAACTCGGCAGCTGCTCAGCAGACGAAACAATGGCAAGGTGAAAGCATAGCCTGGCAAGCTGACGGAGCAACTGCCGAGCGGTCTCGGGCGGCAGTAGGTAACAGAAGGTGCAGGTAACTGCTGTGGAATTGGCATGCCCACCACAAGATTGTCAGTGCGAACTCTCTGCGGATCGCCGAGGCATCTTCAATAGCACTGGGCACTAAGCCAAGTACGCCAAGTATGCCAAGTATGCTCCAAAGGAACAAACTCAACGCAGAATCTGCAACCCGTGCCGGGCACACCCATCGAATCCACGAATATGTCTGGTTGGAACTGGCAGACCGCCTCCCAGCCTTTGCTGCCCGTCCCTCATGGCGCCGTGCATTCGGTGAGTGAGGGCACGGCCGAGGATCAGCGAGCCCAAGCCTTTACCGCGGATGGCAACTCTTGGGGCCAATGGTCAACATCACTCATTGACGTCGAGAGTGCCCGGTCATGATCGCACTACGGGCATATTGCTGAAGACGCGGCTCTGTCCAAGCAGCGTGAAGCGAGGCCTTGTGTTGCAGGCTGCTGATGCATGGTGATGCATGGACTTCCCTTAGTCGGGACGGCCAAGGGCAGCACCACGATGAAGCCTCGACCCAGTGTCTTCGGGTCAGGAAGACAAAGTGGACACCTTCCAGCGTGTGCAGAACTGTGCCACAAAAACGACGAGACAGTCTCACACACTACCTGACGCATTGATCGCCACTCCAAACCGTTGCCGTGCCTGTGCCACACGCTGCAATGGCAATAGTGCACGTGTGTTGATCGCGTTCTTTTCTGCACTGAGATCGGAGCAGATTCAAGCAAGTCCGCGGCTGTGACGTCCACGTCCCCTGTGTACACCACACAGGCCACCTAGACTTGCGCGAACAGGGCGGAAGTCGCCACGAGCTCGAGATCCGGATGGAATGGTCGCATGTCGTCAGATACTCAGCGCTGGGCGCCCGGATGGTTTTGCTGTACAGATCGCAGGCAGCACCTTTGGAAGACTGCCTGCTTAAACTGCTCACGACAGCCACTGGGGCGTTGACCAGAGAACTCGTTCGCCGCCACCGCCGGCATTTGCATAGGGATGGAAAAAGGCCTGGGCCACACCGGTACAGGACCGTCATGTCTTCCCTGGGACGGCTAGTCCCGTTCGTGTCGCGTGACTGACGATCTGCGATAACGACGCTTTGCACATTCTTGCTGCGACTATCCAAGCAACCTGCAGCGCTGCTGGGATTCCGGCCACCGTTTCCTTGCCTGCCAATGCCTGCAGCGAGGACATTTGTGCTGCGTTAGACTCTGGTGTCTTTCTCCGCACACGGAAGCTACCGGTTGATTTCATCATTCTTCATATGACTGCTTCGGTTGTGTGACCATCTTCCGTATGTTTAGACGAGGTGGTCCTGGAAGCATTGTTCTGTTGCCCTACTTGTTCACAGAAAAACCCTCCCTCTATCTAGCGCTGCTGGCCGTCGTGCAGAAAATGGCCACAGCACCACGCAGCAAGCCAACAAAACCACTACAATCGTTACAAGACGAGCCTTTGAGAGACCAGAGCGTGCTGCCAACCGGTAAGCTGTGAGCTTCAACCTCAGCACGTCTGTGAGAAAGCAAAACGAGCGCACCTTTTCGAGATCCGAGGCCCTGGCCAGAGGATGAGGAAGAGCGGCACTGCGAGAAGCAATACAATGCCTGCAACACTGCTGGCTCCCATCCTTGCTGACTGTCGCATGTGCTAGTCAGACCCCATCTCTCAGCATCTGGCATGCCAGCACGAGCAAACCAAGCACCGGCATGGCTCTGGCACAAGTCTAACTCGACTACCGGCTGCCCCGTCAACCATAAGCTGTGACGAAGTGGTTGCGCTTTGCTTTCAAGCTGACGGACCCCCCTCCTGTGGCAGCTTGTCCATTCAACAGGTGCGAACAGCCGGGGTCCATTTCAAAATATTGGAATTATGTCAGTTTGCTAGGCCCTGGGACAAACTACAACCTCTTTGAAAAAGTACAGCTCAGCTACTCCAAGACCTGGTCCTCCATGAACAGATGGATTCCAGAGCCGAAGCACTGCCTTCTTTGATAGTGCCGCGATGGCAAGGAAAACCTGCTTAATTAACGTTTTTCACGGCTGGGCCGCAACGAAGGGGCCTATTCTGAGTACTGGTCGTCCCCGAATCCCGAAACCCTAAACCCTGCACACGCCGCGAGGGTCTCGACCCCGCAGGCACTATACGAGGCAACCGGGATACTTCTACTCCAGGTGCCACCAACAGGATAACGACGACTCCGCTGCCACCCCCCCACACCCTTAAGCTGTGGCACTGGCCCCAAGGCCTCAACCGATTCTGGCAGTGCGGGCACAAGATCACCATCTATGATCGTAGTCGTTGTCCTCACTCCTTTTCCGGTTCGACGGGACCTCTTAGCGGGGTACTTCGGGGGCGCAGGTAGGGCTTCGGGTTTAGTGCTATCCGCCCTTGGCTGCTGCTTTTCTCGAACCCGGAAGCCAAATCCAATGCTAAGCCAGAGAACAAACCAGCAACGAAGCCTTCAGCCACAAATCCTCTGAAAAATCCTAAGCCTTTTGGCCTAAGTTTCTGGCGAAACTCGCGAAACCGCAATCATAGGATCCGATAATGCCGATAACTCCCGGCAGTAGCTGTCCCGACAGGATTCATGTTCTCAACTGTCCCGAACGTGTTGTTGGAACCAACGACATGTCTCCGGGACGGCTGCAAACTCGTCTTTGTACACTTTGCACAAGCAGTCCCCTCGAACCAGTTCTTGACTGACGAGAATGCTCCGGCATGCTCTGATAGCTCTTACGAAGCAGTCAAGGCTCGGAGACTACTGTAAAGAGCGAAGGCTCTCAGCGATTGTCAACTCGGCCTCAGGGAACCGCAAAAGGTGACGGTTCGGGTCGCTTCCAGGTGCCGGTGCTGGGGCTGCTGCCTGGCCCCGTGACCGAGACGCGCATCTGGCCACAGCGTGAGAAAACCGCCAATGCTGAAAGATTCGGGCTTGCCTTCTAGAGCCTCGCAACTGAAATTGTGAGACTTGTCTGTCTTTCAACGCTCGACTTGTCGATGGCCTCTTATATCCCTACACAGGTCATACAGTCACAGAGTTCGAAACTGACTCATTCTGGCTGTGCTTTCGGAGCTGTGTACCAGCATCTTGGATTGCTATGGATTTCTCAGAGATCCGATTCCAGTGCCGAACGGCAATACAACATTACAACATGCACATCCACCACTACTGGTCTGAACGGTACTGTACGGTACTGTACTACTTCAGTGCACCAGCGGCATGTCAATGTGAAATGGGCAGAGCTTCGCAACACAGAGCTTCGCAACACAGGGCTGCGCGGCATATCGTCCAACGCCCTCCCCGGTCCGAATGCGCTTGACACTTCGCCTTATCTTGTGACAAACTGCACACGATCCACTGCAACACCAACTGCCGATAGGAGCATGCCGAGACAGAGAGGCTGCGAGAGAGAAAGAAATAGGTCATGACAACAGCCAGCTAGGCAGTTACACCAACACACACATGTATCTATAAATATACACTCACAAGCCTTCGCACACGCACCTGCGCAAGCGCAGGCGAGCAGACGTCTTTCATACTTCTGAGGACCTTCTTTGTTGTTTCGGCGGTGTTGTTTCTAACTTGGTTGCTCCAATCTGGTTTTTGCAATGTGGTTTTCGAACGTGCTGTCCAGCCTGTCTAAGGCAATTCTCTACTTTCTTTAAGCAACTTGTTTCGACGCTGGTTTTGTTGAAGGTGTTGTGCTGGCTTCTCCAAGGTGGTTCTTCCGTGGTTGCACTGGCAAGGTGTTTCTTTGCAAGGCTTGTTTGTCAAAGGCGTTTTTTTACGGGATGTGGTGGTTGTGGAAACATCGCCCAACGTGATTTTCTGATTTTGCAAGGTATATCAATATCCTTTTGAGCTGGTTTGGGTGACACCTGCGCTTCAACATTCCGATGTCAAAGACCACGCCCTGCTTTCTGACCAAATGTTATGTTTTGAACAGCCTCCGGTTGCCATTGCAGATTTCGGTCGTGTCTGAGGCATGGAGGTTTAGGGTTTTGCGGCTGTCCGACCCGGCTGCTGCAATTTGAAGCGGGGCAGGGCCGGACACGGGAAAATCTAGAGGCCCGTAGCAAGAAAAAACCTATTGTGACGAATCCACGCACGATGCATGAGATTTTTGAGGGCCTGTCGCTGAAGCAGGATGACAAACACAGTTCTTCGGGCTTGCACAGCGATGATTCGAGGAATGGCACCATGTCTAGGCTAGTAAAAAACTGCATTACAAGCGAAGGAATGGGAGTTCTAAGTACGTCTGACAAGCGCTCATTCCAGGCATACTCACCTATTTCTGTCACCTTCGTTGGCACGGCAGCAGAGTAGGTGGTCGTGTCTCCTGCAAAAAGCTCGGCCTACGTCCGTTCCCTTTGTATTTCGGGCTTGAGAGTCACACACACAGACAAACACAAACACACACACACACACACACAAGCACAAGCACGAGCAAGAGCACGAGCACAAGTACAAGTACAAGCACAAGCACAAGCACAGACACACACACACACACACACACTGGGACGACCCTCGAGAGGTTAGTAGGTGCTCACACATGCTCGGCAAGCTGTATTTATGCAAGCTCGGCAAATTGCAATCAGCGAGTGAAACTGCAGGTACGTCTAGCTGATCAGGCCAGATTTCAGCACGAACACTTGACCCTCTTCGTTGGGTCACCAGTCAAGGTCGTGGGTGACGATGAAGTACACAGGTTCGCACCCTCTTTCGAAGGAGTCGTCATTTTGGGATTCAGGGTATCATTGTGTCACAAGCACTGAGACTGTGCAGGTACATAGATCAGGCGTCCCTGATCTATATCCTTGCCTCATGTCACTCAGCTTCGTTAGCAGAGGAAGTGACATGGGCACCTCTGCCCCTTGAGATTTATCAATCCTTGGCATACAGGTGTGTACACACACAAGCAAGCAAACAAACAAACGCAACAAACCACAAACCACAAACCACAAAACACAAACCACAAACCACAAACCACAAAACACAAAACACAAACACAAAACACAAACAAGAAGGCACAAGGGCACAAGGGCACAAAGGCCACAAAGGCACAAAGGCACAAAGGCACAAGGGCACAAAGGCCACAAAGGCACAAAGGGCACAAAGGCACAAAGGCACAAAGGGCACAAAGGGCACATAGGGCACATAGGGCACAAAGCACAGAAACAGCGCCAGGCTCCCAGGCGCAATCGTGCTGGCCGCAACCTCGGAGTCGATCGTTAGGCAACTGACTCCCTAGTCACCTCAGACCCAGTTGAAACGCCCCAAGCGCCCAGCCGGTGGGGAGATGCATTGCGCGCACCTGGCATTCAGCAAGCTTCGGCAAGCTTCGGCAATGTGGACACCGCCAGTAACTTCTACCACAAGCTTGCGCAGCATGACGGTGATGATGGGGGCTGGCCATCCTCCGAACTTCAGCGCAGGCGACGCGAACATGTCTTGGTGCATCTTTCGCGCACCTCCTGCACGAAGCCCTGGAACGCAAATAAGGACGCGCGCCCTGGGCTGCAGAGGCTCTGCAGGCCTGCCACTCAGTTCAGGACATTTTGGGACCAGTTTTCCGGAGTTTTTTGGAGCCCACTCTTGGCCTGATAGGCTGACGATCAGAAGGCGCGGGCTGTCTGCGAGCCGGGCCTGTAGCCAGACCAAAGATCATAAGACGACACGTGGCGACGGAACCTTGCCTTGCCCAGGCCCAGTCGCTCGGCCGAGTTGATCCTGCAAGGTACTCTCAGTGCTCTTGCTGTCTCTTATGCTCTCTTTGCTCTTCTCAAGGCAACATCTCTTTTTTGCTTGTAAAGTCTCGCGTGCCGGTGCCAACAGCCACCTTAGGCAGAACCTCTGGCACTAGAGCATGAGGATGCGAGCGAAGCTACAGAGGTGGACTCACGGGGATCTGCCAAGCGCAGCCTCCTCATTTGCCTTGGACGTGCTTTCCAACATACGAAAGGCAGCTCGCAAGACGTGCCAAGTCTTGGACACTTGTTGGACAACTCCACAAACCCTAAACCCCTTTTTCATGAAGCGCGGCCTGAGGTTGGTGCCAACAAACTGAAAGATAACAGAGATGTTGAACCCCTTTGCCATCCAGGTCTCACGCCGGGCTCTTCCTTTTTGAACCCCTAAACCCTTTGGCTCAAACCCTTTGGCATAACGAGAACCAGCGGCCAGGCGCTGTCATCCTTGCACGCGCTGATTGGCGCGCATGCTTCCGGTCGTAGACCTTGTTGGAGCGGACCGCGTTCGCCACCTGCGGTCTGGGGGCGAGGAAGGACGAAGACGCCAGTTAGTGTGCTGGGAGGACGGGAAGTCGGCCGAGCGGCATCTTTGAGGAAGGCGGATTGTAGCAAGTTGTGCCCGGCCTGAACGACAAGCTCAGATTCATAGAGCCGAGCGCGTTGAAACATGCTGCCTGTGGAGAAAACTTGGCCGTCTCCACCAACGAAAGCTTCGCCCGGTCCTCCTGTGCAGCAGAAAAGCAGCAACGCCCCTATGCTTCTTCACCCTTTTGGCCCCGCGCGCTCTGACGGGTCCGTGGCTGCCGAACAGCCCTGCTAAACCCTAAACCCGAAACCCGAAACCCCCTCTTCGGGGTCTTGCACCATGTCCTGGCTTCGCTGCATCTCCTCTGCAGTCAAGCTGCCGCTTCCTGACAACGAAGTGATCCAAACTCGCTCCATTCACACTAATGGCGACATGCAGGCGCTCACCGATGTCAAGGATCTACCCCGTACTGTTCCAGCATGGTTCTCGAAGTTTAGTGGCTTAGTGAATCATGTCAATGAATGTCCAGGAGCATGGCAGTAAGCAAGGATAACGGCGACCAAGCGGCCCGAGGCGCGCTGCATGCTGCTCTGCAACAAGGAAAGTGACTCAGCTGGCAGCATGGACTGGTGACTAGTGACTAACGGGCGGGAAGGGAGAGCCTGGGAAAGAAAGAAGTAAACGTGGAAAAACAACGCAAAACAGAATGAAACACAATCCCCCCCTCTCACTCACACATCGGGAATTCCGGAATTCCTAGCTGCCCCTGAAGCAAAGCAGCCCACGCAACTGTCAAATAACAAATGGTGCCTCTCAGGGCACCCGCACTCATCGTCTATCAAACCTAGCAAACTCGATACAAACCGTATCGCAGCGCACATCCGTCTGTAGCTTCGTTGCACACGGTACTGGAGGTTGCGGATGCTGTGTGCCGCTGCTGCAATTTTTTCGCATCAGCGGTAGGGGTTCTTCGAGGCCATCAACCCCTGAAGTTCCCTGCGGACATAGCTGGATTCACACATCAGACGTCCGAAGCTTGCGGCAACCGGGCTAGATGCTGTCAAGCGGCGCACTCGGTGCAATTATCCTCGACGGCTTCAGTATGGAAGTCCTTGTGAAACAGGAACGACAGGAACAAAAGCTTGAACGACCATTCTCCAGTGGAGACACCGGTGCTTAGCTGGAGAATGCCAGAGCTCGACCCGCATGCCACTGAAAAACCCAGAGCCGTTCTAGCTTTCAACGCCGAACACCTTGCCAGCCATGAACGAAACACTTCATAGCGAAGCAGGTGGCCTGAGCCACCACTAGGCCCAGTGTCACCTAGGACTCGGCTGCTACTTTGGAGAAGATATTTCAGGGGTTGCAGGGTTTTGCACCTGCTGCCATGTCCAGCCACAAGGATAAGGTCTGCACCCACACGAAGGAGTGAAGAGCCCGCATGTGGCCAATGGCTTGGATGGTACCTGAGCTCGGAATTTCGAGCTTTCCCAGCACTCCACCGCGAACTCGACGGTTCGTGCCGAAACGTGCCGATGACATGCTGACACCAAGACACGATAGGCAGCTGGATGAGCACAACGCTCAGAGATAGAAGCGTGTCTCTTTTGAGCCACAGGGTTCCCAAACGTCAAGGCAGCGTGGACATGTACTCTATATTGTACTCTGATTTTGTGGGCTGCGCGTAAGCCTAAGAGAGTCTAAGTCAAACCAGCGCGTGCTAGACATGGAGAGAGCAAGAGTCCTCAAGCTGTGGACGAAGCAATCGCACTCTGCAATAATCTGCTCCAGCACCTTGGATCTGCTGGTGATGTGATTGCTGGCGTTGGCTCTCCTTGCTCACCTGTCTTGCTTAATCTCAGCCATCAAAGCAAAACCCGGCAAGCAGCAATGATTGCACCGGGGGGGCGGGTGAACCGACCTGAAGCCGAAGCCGAATTCGTGAAGCTGCATTGCCGTGGGTGACGCCGCATTGTGACGCCGCTTCGTCTGACGCCACATTGCGGGGCGACGCCGAATTGTCCCCTGACTGAATCATGGCGTGAAGCCCAATTACACTGTGACGCGTGGGAATTGTGGCGCCGAACTTCAGCCTGACGACGAATCGTGAAGCCGAATACTCCCTGACGCCGAGTTGTACAGCCGAATTCCCCCATGATGCCGAAGTGTGAAGCCGAAATACCCTTGACGCCGAATTGTGACGCGGAACTACCCCCTGCGCCGAATTAGCCTGACGCTGATGCGTCTACGCCAGCAGGATGGCTTGGTGGAGCCACTTTGGGGCTTTTGCTGGAGCAGCTTTTGGAGTCTTTTGGGTTGAATTTGCGCCCGAGCGACAGCCCCCCAAGCTTGCCGAGAGTCGGCGGTCGCTCGGGCACTACAGTAATTCTTCCCGCAAGAGAGCCCTTGGTGAGCGCCTTGATCATTCCACATCTGACGAACATGCGCACTTGAAGGACTTGCTCAGTCTCGCTTCTATTTGTTCCAGGCTCTGTGGAGGCTTTTTGGGAGGTCTTTTGGGTTGAGTTCGTGCCCCCAGAGACCCATATAATTCGGCTTCGCTACGCGTCTTTCGGCTTCGCCCAACTGAACCGTTTACACACCTCCCCCTCGGCCACAATGGCAAGAATGGTCAACCATCGTCATCGTGCCACTCAGTTCTGCACCTGCCTGGCACATGGCAAACCCAGATCGAGAGCCTTATGGCAAGCAGCAGTGCGTTGCGTGCCGCTGCATGCTTGCCCGTGCCCCTTCCAAGAACACCGCCGCGGACTGGAGAGGAGAACTCCACCAGCTGGAAGCTGCGCCACCCTGCCTTGCATGCGCCCATTTCACACAACTTCTAGGTCCAAAAGTCGTAGGAAACCTATGGGTTTTGCAGTGCCGAGGAGGTGGCCCGCTGCGTTCATGGAGCTCTGCTTCACCTACGTTGCGGCAGCGCAAAGACAGCAGGCGGCCGGCAGGCGGCCGGCAGGCGGCCGGCAGGCGGCCGCACAATTCTGAGGTCCAGAGTCCAAGGGCGCGGCTCAACTCCGTACCCGGTGGAGGATCCAATCTGCGAATGGGAGAGTTTGGCGTGCCCAGAGAGCCCAATACCCCCCAATTAAGGAGTATCCCTTAAATAAATTTAGACTATATAGGGATCCTTGATATGGTTTACGGCATCTATTCCTTAATTAAGGGGATATAATGAGCTCTTTGGGTGACTGATTGCGTACGCTTGTTCTGTTGTAAGCATCAGGCTCCAGCTTGAGGACCTGTCAGATCATTCTCTTGCAACTCACTTGCGAGGATGCGAGACAAACACACTTCACTAACTTGTGCAGAATGCGCAGCTTCCTGCAGCACAGAAGGCCTAAACCTTAAGCCCTTTTGACCCCGCGAGCTCTGCCGGGTTTCACAGCCGTCCAAACCTTAAGCCCTAAACCCTAGATCCTCGTCATTGCTAGTATCCAGGCATGTCCGGCCTGAGCGCCAGAAGCTGCTAAAGCAGCTGCAGAAAAAGGACCTGCTGGAAGGCTGCACGCCTCAACCTCATTCCACAGCAAAAACATAGAGACGTACCGATGGGTATGACACTTGTGCCCCACATCACAAGCGACTCCAGCTTCTCTGGGCAGGCTCAGCCCATGACGATGCGCACCTGAATGCCAGTGCCCCGCCGCATCATATGTGCTGCTCCACATGCTGCATCCATCCCTCTGAGGTCATCCGAGGCTCCAACTCCTTCCAGCGGTCGATGTGGCAGTTGCAAACCTTTCTGTCAGAGGAAGCCCTCAGATCTCCTACCATCCCAGCCTCGCAAGCAAGGAAACTGATGATGCTCTTTTATTTCATGCGATCTGAACGCAATCTGAGGAATCAAGGCTGTTCCTCAACTTCACGTGGGCGATCGTAGGCGTGCACACATTGAAAAAGGGCAAGCAGCATGACGAAGCACTTACACCAGTCTTCAGTGGTGAGGATTTAGGGTTGAGGGTTAAGTGTTAAGGGTTTAGGGGTACATCTGCTTTGGCTGCGTGTGTTGACTGATGTAGCTCCGACGTCATCTCCAGATCGAGATTGGAACATTGGGCTTTCACGGCCCACAGACACACTTTCACACAAGAAGTATGCCAAACAACACCACTTCGACTGCAACTGCAAAGGCTCTCATCAACATCGAGTCGGTTTAGTTGCAGTGATCCGGGTGCCCCACGTAGGAACCCCCCCCAGCTTCGCTGGCGGGCATGAAACTCAAGGTCAATAGGCACTTCAAGCATATGCTCGTGCTGCCGTGGCCAAGGAAGGCGTGGCTTGGGATGGGGGATCGCCAAAGCTCACAGGACATTGGACGTTGTTCATGGTGCCCGTCCGTCTGCGAAACAGACTTTTCGCCTATGCGATTACACCACATGCCCATTGCTACCCCATTCTACATTCCCTCAACCTGCACTATCAGAACAAAATCGCAACTGCCCATCGAAAGCCAAAGATGCCAAGGCTTTTGAGGCCTTTGGCCGTTGTCCGCACACTTTGGCGGCATGCCCAAGCTGACATTTACCGTCGCGGACTCGAGCGTCGCGCAGCGCCGCGCAGCGCGCCCTGAGGAACTCTTGTGTAAACAGGCTCAGGCCTCGAAGCTTTCTGGCATCTGCGTCTTTGAAGGCCTTGCAAGGCCCATGACACTAGGCTGCACTGCTAAAGCCAAGTTCTGCCAAATGGCTCCCCCCCATAAAGCCCAGCCAAAAGTGCGACGTTGCTCATCCCCTGTCCTTTTTGACACTGGAAACTGCGTGACCCTAAGGTGTCCCTGAATCCATCGCCTAGGACAATACAAACTCTAGTAAACTCTAAAGGTTTGCGGCTGTTGCACTACAAACAGGTGAGAGCTCCACTGGCGCGAAAACTGCGAGACAAACCGGCCGGGCGCACACATCCCAACTTGACGTCAGCAATTGCGGGAAGCGCTGAACATTCAGGCCAGTCTAAAGCGAACTGAAATGTCTATCTTATGTCTCATCTGGTAATCATTCGCACCCACGAATTACACCCCCGGCCTCTGGCTCAAAACCTCACGAATCTTGTCTGGCTGCAAGAATAAAGCTGGGTTCCTTTGCACTTTCCACACATGTTTGCGGAGTTTCGCTCCCTGGTGGCAACCTGAACTTCTTCAGCTGCCGCACCCCTTGAACTCGTTCCCGGAGTCGCAGCAGTTGTTTTTCCCACTTGATTCTCCCGTTTTTGACCACTTTGCTTGTCCCTCTCTTCTTCTGCCGTGTTTCCCAGCCCGATAACCTCCGAGGACGATTGTGCTGCTTCGTGCTTGCCAGCTCGACTCTTCCAACTCTCACTCTCGCACTGTCTCTCTCCTTCCCAGCTGCTTAGTTTCCCTTCCGCTGTCCTCTTCCGCCTTCTTGACGCCATTATCTTGAGTCTGGGAATTAACCATAACGGCTTGAGCCTTGAGCCGTCCTAGACCACCTTTTAAGTCCAGTCGTGAAGAATTCGATGCATGCAAAACCGAAAAGCTTTATTGTTGCACGGACTCTGATGGTGTTGTTGAAAGCTGTGGTTCAAAGCAGGCGGCCGCAGCACGAAACAATTGCATTTTCAGATTGCCAAAAAACAGGACCCAAGCCTTTGCTTCCTCAAGAACCTCCAGTGTGCTCTTTCACTCAAAATATTGCCCCCCCAGGAGGCCCGGGACTCCTTGTTTTGAGCCCAGACTTCTGCAGTCAACTGGGAAAGGCCTGTGCCGACCTCAAACATACATATGCTCTGCCAAGGGCCTAAACCCCAAACCCCAAACCCTGAACCCTAAACCCCAAACCCTAAACCCTACACCCTAAACCCTAAACCACTACCTGTTGCGGTGCAAAGCTGCATTGCGAGGTTTCGCAACGCCACTTTGATGCGAGTGTGCTCCTCCGAGCCCTCTTCCAGGCCCTTGGATTGGCCAAGCTGGCATTAGGGTTTAGGGTTTAGGGTTTAGGGTTTAGGGTTTAGGGTTTAGGGCTTAGGGCTTAGGGCTTAGGGCTTAGCGCTTAGGGTTTTTTGTTTGCCGCCCTCCTGGCTGAACTGTACGTCCACAAGGGTTTCGACTCTCACCCTTGTGGGCGTGCGGTTCAGCTAGGCGGCCGTCCACGAGGGTTTGGGTTTAGGGTTTCGGGTTTCGGGTTTTTTTTTGCCACCCGCTTAGCTGACCTCTCGGACACTCTGCAGGGAATTGGTTTCGGGTTTAGGGTTTAGGGTTTGGGGTTTGGGGTTTAGGGTTTAGGATTTAGGGTTTAGGGTTGTTAGGGTTTAGGATTTCGGGATGCCCAGAAGCCATCCTCACGCTGCTGCCCGGGCTTCGCAACTGCGCCTTGCGCATCCTCCTGAAACCGAACTAAGTCAGACAAGGCGCAGACAAGATGACGGAGTACTTCTTCATCAGCCTTGGCTCTCACTGGCGAACCCACCTCTCTTACTGAGCATATACCCCCAAGGAGGTCCTTGCCGGCTGTGCTCCTGCCTGGGGGGGGGCCCAGCATGTGTAGGTAGTCGTGCCTCAGGCTTACATTTCACAGCTGCCTGAGCAGCTTGTCGAATCGTTTCTAGCATAGGGTTCCATGGCTCAGCTCCCCTCAGTCCATGTCAACTCATGAACTGCGAGCACTAGCTGTCACTAGCTCCCTGAGCCTACAACGAAGGACACCCCGACACACCAATCTGCAATGCTTGCCCATCCCCTTTCTAACCCAGAGGGCGGCTGAAGTAAATCGCGGGGAGGAGCTATCGTTATTCAAAAATGGCTAGGGCATGTAGTTGAACAGGCCCTGAGTTTTTGCAGCAGGTCCTTCACCAGGCCAACCTTACCATTACATAGCGGGAGAGTGCGCTTTTCGGGTGGCCCCCCTCCCTTTTTAGATGAGTACCGGCTTAAAGCCTAGGGAACCAGCATCCCGCGCCTACACATCGTTTCGCTGGCCTTTGCCCACCTTTCTTCCCGGCTGCTTGTGCTCACCCGCATCATGGCATCATGCATGCAGGGAGTCCGCTGTGCGCAGCCGAGCTACTCAAGCTTTCGATTGGCCGCAGATGCCTCTTCCATGGCGGTCGCAACAGCATTTTCCTGAACAAGATGCCAAGAAGGCATCTGTGGGGCTCTCGACATCTCTCGGTCATGAGCAGATTCTAAGGAGCAGGCAACCCAAGGAATCGTGCTGAATTTCTTGGCCTTGTCAGGTGTTGCATGCACGGGCGCAGAAGTACAGTTACCATACGTATAACCCTCCTTACAACTACCCCAGGAACCAGAAATGCCCACAACGATTCAGGGATCACAACGTGCCTTAGGCACGACGTCCTCCTCCGGGACTTCGTCGTCCTCACCTGACCACTTCCAAGCCCTAATGCCTTCAGGGGTTGAGGGTTTAGGGTTGAGGGGTTAGGGTTTAGCGTTCAGGGTTCAGGGTTGAGGGTTTAGGGCTTCGGGTTTTGATTCCCTCTTGCACAGCCGGGGCGAATCCGCGTCGCAGGGCGACTTCGAGTCTGTAGGGTTTAGGGTTTCGGGTTTCGGGTTTAGGGTTTTTTTGTGCGGTTTAGGGTTTAGGGTTGAGGGTTTAGGGTTCAGGGTTTAGGTTATTTTTTAGGGTTTAGGGTTTACTGAAGCATGTGTCAAACAAGGCCAACAAGTTCAAAACCCTGAACCCTTTTTTTTGGACCCTAAACCCTGAACCCTAAACCCTAGACCCTAAACCCTAAACCCTACGGACTGGGCCTGGATCCTCCTTCACGGCGACGCTCTGCAGCGGCTTCTTCCCCTTCGACTTCGCGTCTAGAAGGGCTTTGACCTTTCTGTCCTGGTTAGGGTTTAATTGAGGGTTTAGGATTTAGGGTTTTTTTTCTAGGGTTTAAGGTCCGACTTCAGCAACCTGTGTGCCCTACTGGCCCTGCCTCTTCCAGCACGTGCTTTCTGAACCTCGTGTTGGGATAAAGCAATCAATCAACCATTTCCACTGAGCTGCTTACTGTGCCCAATTCAGGACATTGCCGAATCGAGCGGGCGTTGAGAACATGGCTGCACGTGAAGCCTGCCCAAACCTTCACCAAATCCTGGGAAACTCGACCGATTCTTCCAAGCAGCTTGCGCAACTGTGGGAAGCCTCGGAAAACTGGCGGCGGCCTCCGGAACCTACCCTCTCACGAATCTGCACCCAAATGCAAGCGTTTCCGGATCAGTAAAGGGATGACACCCATACCAATCCCACAAGAGTGCATCCAGCTGACTAGAGCTGGCTCCTAAAGCAAAAATGCAACAACATTCCTGCGATTTGGCCTGGGCCTTAAGGCAACCAAGCTTCGCAAGAGAATCAAAAGCAGCAGGCTGCGTGAGCCTGCAGAGGCGGACAGCATGGACGGCGCACAAAAATCCAAAGATCTGGTCAACCAACTGGGGTTTAGGGTTTCGGGGTTGGGGGTTTAGGGTGCCCAAGAAACACAAGCACATGCAAGCATGCATTTCAGAAAGAAGTGCTGCTCAAATTGTTCTTGCAACATGGCTGAGGTGGTGGCTGGTCCAGTGCTTGCCGGCCTGCATGCTTGAGACAGGGAAACTTCATAAGGAACCAACGGGGGCGTGAGGGAGGGGGGCGTAAGGGGTCCGTATTGACACGGCTCATTGAGGCCTTGTTTGGGGAATCTGTGCCATATGGTTCCTTGTACTGTAGGGTAGCCGCAGTTTGCAGGACATCAACTTTCAAGGATCAGCTGCGCTCTCACCGCCTGCTTGTGCTTCTCTTTCACTTCTTTGATGGCCAGAAGCCGGTTGGCCGCGGTGATCATGATCGGGTTGTTGTGGCAAGCAAACATCCTTTCGACGCTGCACGATGCGATTTGCTGCCATATTCTCAACCCTCAACAGCATCGACACGCCATACCCTGTACGAGAAGATTAGGCCTTGCCACATATTCAATGAAGCTTCCCGAGCCACGCCTAAAACAATCCTAAAATTATACACCTGCCAGCACTCGCTGAAGAGTTATACGGAGCAAGCTTCATCACGTAGCCAATGTACGTGCGGTACGTCCTCCGCAGCTACAGATGTCAGTCAACTTTCAAAAGTTTCTCTGGACTGAACTTTCACTGGCGCATGCTGGGGCAGCGGCGTATCCAAGAGCATCAGGTTATTGACGAACTGCGGGGTATTCGCCCCATAAGTGATAGGGAGCATGACAAGAACGCCAAGCAGGCCTGGGTTGCGTAACTCGCATCTACTCGGTGCTGGAATTGTAGCTTCCACATCGGGGGGTGCACATGAAAAAGTCGTGCAGGCACATGCGCTAGAGCTTGCGACTGGTGCGTGAGTGGTGCCGCCAAGGGTCCCATCACAAAACGCACTATGGCAGTAACAACACCTGTGCCGAAGGCTCAAAAGGTGACCCAAAATTTAAGCTGTTCAGGAGTTATGGGTGCCAGGGAGGCCTGTGATCGTTGCCAGAACAACGTTTGAAGCGGTCTTTAGTCTCCTAGCAGCTGAATGCATTGCTTCTTCGAAGGATGCGCTCCGGGACTTTTTTGAAAAGTGGCAAAACCAAAACTTTGTCGGGACCGACCCCCTCACGACGCCCGCAGGGGAGAGTAACAGGGCTACCAAAATCAAGACATCTCAAGACACTCCACATCACGGCCTTTGGCTTTTAGCAGCCGAACAGGAACCAAAAAACTGACATGGTCACCACCAAGCTCACCATGATCTAGGTTCTGCCGTGCAACGTGTCCCTTTTTGCACGATGTTCATCCTCGTCCCCCATCCTGGAGCTCGGGTCATGCCTCTAAGGCTTACGGCGCTCCGCGGTATTCTGCGGCATCCTGGGGAGTTCACGGCCCTCGTGGGCCACGCACTGGGCCGTCGACCCCAAGGTCTTCGATACCCTGCTGGGCACACAGGGGCAGCTCTCGCCACAATGCGGGGGGGTGGCGCCCAGCCAGTTGGTCACTGCGCGCATCAAAGCCTGAACGCAGCAATCTGATTGTTAGCAGCGAGTGCCGGCTTCGCCCCGACTGTGCACGCAGATCGATGTCACTGACCGCACCTTCCGGGATGACCGCACATCATTAGGACACAATGCCAGTACCGAGTACGCGAGTATATACGCTGCCGGACGGGTTAAAAGATCGCCTAGGCGAATGCGTGCGGAGGATATGATCCGCGTCCGTACCCTAAAACCCTAACTCTCAGTGAGCAAACGAGAAATCCGAGAAAGCTCTTCCGCACATTGACGTGCTAAAGATGCAAAAGGAGCCCTTCAAGGGGAACGGGATGACCAAGCCGACTGGGACGGCTTGGTGATGACTTCATTCAGCAAGGGGCCGTGCCCATCCCGATCCATGTTTTCTTGAAGTTCATCCGCCAAAGTGCGCGTTTGGCTTCCTTGCTTCAGCTTTGCATTTGGGTGGCCAAGGCATGTCCCGAAACCTTGTAATCGGAGCGACACCAGCATGCCAGCCGTGAGCTGGGGACTATCAGGATTGAGAAGGCAGATAGGGTCAGCTAGCCCCTGTATAGCGAGCATTGCTTCTTGAACACCTGCTGAATCCCTTCATATCTCTCCATGATTCCCTCTACCTCATCCTGATCAGCCCCTTTTTTACGTCTTCCATCCAAAACCTCTGGTGCACGCTGGGTGTCCAAGACCATCTGAGGGTCGACTATTTTCGGGGTGCAGCACTACACAGCGCAACACACCCTTCCGACCCTCAGCCTCCAGGCAACGCCAAAAACGTCATCCAGAAGTGAAAGATGGATTGTCCTGCAGAGCAGCATCTGAAACTCACGCACGACACTAGCCAATTCTCTCTCTCTGCTTGATTTAGCCCAGCCGTCTTGCTCCTGCCCGTGTCTTGATGAATGTTGGCCCGAACAGGCACTTCTTGCAGACCTTCATGCTCACAAAGGAGATGATCTTCGGGATCACGAACGTGGTGATTATCGTCGGCAAGAGTCTCCAAATTACGTTCCAGGTGAGCCCAAAGCAGAAGGGAAACAGTATGAGCGTGACCAGGCCGACAATGAGAATGTACGACACGATGGCCGAGGAGATGCTAATGCCTATGAAGCCGGTGGAGAACACAATCTTGGCATCCGACTTCTTGAAGTTGAACTTGCCCAGTCTCGCATCCATCACTGACTGCCGGAAGTGTACGAAGTGACCGAGTATCGCGCAGAACGTCAGGAGGGCCGCAACTACAATGCCTCCGGGCACTACATGCCACCGCTAGACCGGATGTTCAGGAGATGGTTACGGGGTGGCGCTGATACACAGGCGGAGTGGAATCTGCTGCACGCAGCTAGTCTAGATATCGGAAAGTCGCAAGTCTCTCCGAAGTCCTCCGAAGCATCTTTCCGTTAGGCACTCTCTCATGGCAATTGCATCTGGCAACTTCCCTGCCTGCTGTGAATCCGACAATGACCGCATCAACCAGCTGCTGAAACCAAGATTTCAATAAGTCGAGCTGGACGTACATGAACTCAGTCGAGCCTGCACATCAGGTGGGTCTGTTCTTCTTTTTGTCACGAGGCTCCGGGACGAGCCCCCCCCCTGCCTTGCATGCCTGTCAGTGTTGCTGTCTTTATGCTGTCTTTCTCTGGTTTTAATTTTTCTTTTCCCCACCCACCCCCCCTCGTGTCAGGTATGCTTTCACACTGAGCTCACCGAGCATGTTGGCCGCCTGAGCTCGCGACGCCCGCGTTTCCGACACCTTGTCCACTGACGGCATTTCTCTTGTGTTGACGCCACACGACAGCTTCTCAAGATGCAGCAAACCTTTGCCAGCACTCGGGCTGTCTTCGGCAAGTGTTTGCCGACACCCATGCGCCTTCGCGGTCACGCGTCTCCTCGCCGGACATGACTTCGGGAAGTGTTTTCGTAAAAGTGCGCGTCGTCCACGTCGTTGTGTCGTCGCACATCATGTAAGTGCTGATATACTATATACATATACACACAAATATACAAGTTTATATAATATGTGAATTGATATATGTGCGTGTGTGTGTGTGTCTATATGGATGCTATATAAATATATGCTTGTTCATATGCTTGTTCATCTCGGTTTGGTTTCTTCGCGCAATCTGGCTTTCCTTTCGTGGGCCATTCGCGTGATATTGGCCTTGCAAGTGGGCCCCATTTCGCCTTAGATTTCGCGGATCTTTCGCGCAAAGCCTGTCCTCGCCTGCGCGGCTTCCCCCCTGGAAGTGTCTTTGGCCAGGGAAGTTCTCGGAAGGTGTCTTGGGACGGGACGGCCATGTGCTTTTTCCGAATGTGTCTTCAGGACCTACGTGTCTTCGCTGTCTTCTCCCAGCATGTGTCTGCTCATGTGCAGGTGTACTAAGCCCCATGTGCTTTCGAAATGGGTCTTCGGTCTGCTTTGGATACGCGCAAACCCCCTCCCGACTGCAACTTAAATACTGCAAAAGCTCGCTATCGTGCAGGTTGAGTTTGGCCGGCGGCTGTCCCGAAGCAGTGCCTGTGGGACCACTTGCTTTGCAGCTTTGCAGGGAGATTTCGTTAACACCCTAAACCAGGCCTCGCAACGACTGCCAGGTCCTCCCTAAACCCTAAAACCCCCTGAAACCCTCAACCCTAAACCCTCGTGCAGCCGGGAAGCTGTCGGGCAAGTCGGCATTGGAGACTTGAAAGTACGCATTGTTAACGCTGGAGATAAGCCCGATGGATTTTTCCAGGGCCGTGTTCAAGATCATGTTGAAAAAGCCTTCCAGTGCCCACAAGACCTGTATAGACTGTGCAAATATGTAGCTGAAGGAAAGGAAGGCCAAGAGGTTGGCAACCAGAAGCGCTGATGGGAAGAAGAAGGCATCTTCTGCGTTGAAGCGCGTGAAGAAAGTCCGCTTGATCGATGATATCCTTACCCGTCCAGCTACTTTAGAGAAGAAGAGGTCGCCCCCTTAAGAGAAGCGCTTCTTCTCCTTATCTCCTTCCCAAAAAGAGGCAAGCAGTTTACAAGGGTCAGATAGAGTCGACTGGACTCCGCTGAGGATCAGGGACTGCCGAACTGCTCGCTCGGGTGGAACATCCTTGAAGCTCAGGGCTTGCCAGAGCCTTTTGTGGGTGTAGGCCTCGAAGACTTCCGAGCGCTTCTCGTCGAAGGTCAAGACCTTGTTGCTGCCAACTTCGGCGGCCATGCCTGAGCACCCCCTCTACCAATCTAAGTGAGTGGCACACCAGAATCACCAGAACCCCCAACAAGCCCAATGCAATCCGGATGCCCCAGACAAGGGCGACCAGTATCAGCACCAGGTCCACCAGTGCAAAGTAGACCCAACCGCCATACATGGCATCCCTGTGCAAGGACAAGAAGGGTGCAGCCACCAGCATGCCCACGGTGCAGACGATCGCGAAAATGAACCAGTACCATCGGTGCACCCTCGCATTCGTGGTCAGAAGGATGACACCGACGATGCCCGCAATAGCGGAGCAGAACCAGTTGAACGCTACATCCACTGGGTCCGGTGGTGTTCTGACCACTTTGAAGGCGACGCCTTCAGGGCTCTCGACCCCATTCACCGACACGCTGAAGGCGTACTCTGTGTTCTCTTTGAAAGCGAACCTGGGTGTTGCTTTAAAGCCCTTTGAAAATCACTTCTGAATAGGTTTCCTTAAAGGGAAAGAAGGGAAATTCAAAATTATCCCAAAGCAATACCCAGGCACAGAGGCTGGCTCTTGAAGGTGTACGCGCATGGCGCCTCGAAATCCAAGTCCTCCAGTGAAAACTCCCACTCAGCCGCTACCAACTTCTCGCTCGGAGAAGAGACTCTGCCCCCTGCAGACATGATCACCTGTGAGAACCTTAGAGGCACAGGGAAGAGCTTGCCAGAGCGGAGGGTGTTTGCATAACCCTCGTCCCCTCTGCTGAAGGTAGACAAGCTGTCTTCAACTCGCAACCGAATGCAGCCGATCGTTCCCACCATACTGAAACGATTCAAGGAACTGGTCCAGAATCTGCGAAGGCTCCAGCGCAGTTGGGTCAACGCCAAGGGCTTCAGACACACTGGAGGACTGCAAAACAGAGAGACCAACCTAGGGGCCGCGCTGAAGCTTAAAGCTGGGGCGCTTGGAGCATTCGGAATTGCTCCATGAATGCACCCTTGCTTTGATTACGACTATGTTAACTTCTGCCACATATATGTAATATTTGTCATACTTCATCTGAGCGACATCGGAAACATTGCCGAAACCAAGCTCTGTGAAGGGGTCCCCGACCTGCATCTGCCTCAGGGGTGTTGTCAGGCAGGCCTCAGCAAAGTCTGGGGAGAGGCCGGCGAAGGACCCCTTAGCTGGGCTGGCCGAGTTGGCAATGAATCGGTCGACCGTCTCCTTCATAAAGCCGCTGGATTGCTGAGACAATCTTGCAGCCATGTCGTTGGCAGAATTTCGCAAGGATTGCCGCGCACCCTGTTTCAGATCATTTGCCAGCCTCATGGCTTTGGACTCTTGTTGTGAGGGAGCCCCTTTAAGGCTAAGCTTGATGATCGCCCGGACACCTGCGGACTGAAGATCCGTCAAGGACTCATTCGTTGCCGTCTCCACACAGAATCGAGGTGTCCGCGGGAGCGGAGTGAGTTGGCCGAAGTCAGGGATCTCCACCTGGCCCCATGCAGCCTCATCGGAATAGATTCGGGAGACAGAGTTCTCCACTTTGAAGGCGCTGGTTTCCAGGACCACATTCGCATCTGGCACGTCGGGCTGAAACAGCAGTTTGTAGGTGCCGCTTACGGCGCGTGTAATGGTCAAAGGGAACGAGATGATGCCCGTGGGCTTGCTCACGCGAACCGTCGTTTGTGGGTCGAGCTCCACGGCACTGTCCGCTAAGACCTCCAACTTGCGTCCGTTCAGTGCCAAGGCCTGGAGCGTTGCTGGAGAGGTGCTGCCAGGCGAGGTGGCGGCGGCTTTCTGGATGCCTGCACGAACCCTCACATCTCTGACCGGAGCACCGCTTGCCGTTGTAACTTTCAATCGCACCAGAAACACCGTCCCCACGGTGGCAATCTCGGGTGGTTGCAGAGCAAGGGAGAAAGCACTGGCTGTGGTTTCGGCAGTTAATTCCGTTGTGGATGAGGCCTGCGTGTCCTGCATCGTTTCTGCCACGGCGGCGGCACATGATGCAAACTGCTCCGTAGCTGACATGTCGTCAAAGTTGGCAGGCTTGCTGGTAGAAAACCTAAAGTTTGTGCCAGACAGATCGCTGACTTTCAATGCAAGTTTGGCAGGTTGCGAGATCCGTCTTGTCCAACGGACTTTCAAGAAAGAGAACCGCAGAACAGCGTAGGGAACGATTTGCACTACCTCCAATCTGCTGCAGCGACCCAGCGCCTCCTGTTGATTTACGAAGACGCACACGGAATCTTCAAGCATGCGCTGGGAGAGCTCAGCAGCTGTCTCTGAATCGCTCACACCCCGTCCACCTTCACTGGACACTAGTAGTCGCACCAACAGCCCACCAAGCTGCTCTGTAAACATCGACAGACCGCCGAACGCGGGTCGGACTTCCACCGTGATGCTGCCGCCAAACTCGTCGAGGCCAATGTTTAGCGGCCAGGTTGACCTCACCAAGCGGCGCAGAGTCAATCCAAGAACTGTCAAGCCGGTTGCTCTGACGATAAACCGCGAAGCCCGTGAAGCCCCTCAATGCATCGAAGCAGCGGCGGCTGGCTGACGATGAAAAAATTGTAGGGCGCCGACAGGCAAATTGGCGCTGCCGCCGGCACCGGTTCAGTCTCAACCCCCTCTGCTACAAATCGCATTCCTCAGCGAGAGCACGGCGGAGCATCATCCCAACATCCCAACATGTCCCAGCCATCGCATTGAAAGATCGTGAAAACTTCGTGGGCGCAATAGCACGCTGCACTGTCCACACTTTGCCCTGCTACGATATCTCGCCGGATAACCCATGCACTTTGCGAGAATCCAACCGTGCAGCCCTCCATTTTCCGGTTGCGTCGCTAAAAGAAACAAAACCTACAAACTGAAACGTTTCTCATTTCTGCTTACTGGCGTGCAGGCACTCCAACGAAGCAAGGCGAATGGCAAGCACAGCAATACCACAAACACCCACATCTCTGGCTTGCGAGCAAGCCTCGGGTACACCCAGCACCATCTACAATGCCCATGATTGGAAAGTACGCCACTCCATCTTGTGCAGGAAGAACTCAGGAATTCAATGGAATTCACACATCGGATGAAACGGCAATGACCGGGCTCAACTACAGCCTCCTTCAATCGTACTGGCAAACGCTGCAACTTCAAGACCGCAACTTACAATTCTGAATGAGGCCCGCCTCGTTGCAAAAAGTCTGTATCACCTTGCCCAGATGGGCTGGAATACAAGAAGGGAAACGTCGAATACATGGGCATGACCGTCAGCTTCCTTAGCTGCGTCAACAGTCACTGGTTTACGGTGACTTGCGGCATTAACCCTAAACCCTAAACCCTAAACCCTAAACCATTGCCTGGGCTGGGAGATGCTGCAAAGTGGCTTGAACCTCCCATCGTCTTCATTCACCAAGTCATAGCTCAAAATCAAGCCTCGGCTCGGGCGTACAGCGTGTGGTAGGCGAGGTCTTACAGGGACAACGATATACAACTATGGACATTTCGCATCCACACGCTTCTAGTTTGATTTCTTCTTAAGTATGAATGCCGCAGGCCCCTGAAAAGCGCTGCAAGCCTTGGCCTCCAGGTGTATCTTGTCCAACCCTGCCCTGATGTACAGATATGTACCGCATCACTCGCATCTGCTCAATTGTCCACTGCATGGTTGCTGTAGAAAACCTTTTCCTGAACGGGGTTTTCGTTACGATGGCACCTTGTTGAAGATAAAAACCCTGACGCAGGCATGCGGATTTCTGGAGCAGCTTCGTCGAAAACAACCCCGCTGTTATGTGAATGCTATTTCGACGGAATCCAAGCATGTTCTTTGAAATCGGGATTCTCCGTGAAGCTAAAATACAGAAAACATGAAAAAGTAAAAAAAAAAAAAAAAACACAATCCACCCAAATCCCGCAAAAATCGAACAGTAAACCTTTTCAAAGAGCTTTACACATGACAATATAAACATAAGACCGCGAACCAGGTCCTCGGAGCTCCGAAACACGCGCTTCAGACTGCAACGCCACGACCGCGCATCCACCCCACACACACCCGCACATACACACCTCCTCCGCCAACACCACCACCGCCACCACCACCGCCACCACCACCACCACCACCACCACCACCACCACCACCACCACCACCACCACAACCACACTCCGCCACATGCATCCGCACGCACCCACGCCGCCGCACTCCACCACACCCCCCACACACAGCCACGCATGCGCTTGCAGAGACCGCGATCGACGCAGATCCGTGGAGCTCTCCGAAACTCGCGCACTTCGGAGAATGCGCGCTCATACAGCCCGGGATCTATCATGCAACGACCACGCATCTATCGCCATCCCCCCTTACCGACAGATTCGATGAATGGTGCCCCCGCCCTCCTTTAAAAAGCAAATTGTTGATTTAATACCCCCACCCCTTCCCCCCAATTTTCCTGATAGATTCAGGACCCCCGCTCCCCCGTTTTCCTCGATAGAGCAGAACTCGACCGACGCGAGCGTTCGATATTGTAGTGAGTGAAGAAGCTGGACTGGGACGGTTCGGGACGGTTCCTCCCCTCCCTTCCCTCTGTCCTTCCCCTCCCTTCACCTCCCTTCCCCTCCCTTCCCCTCCCTTTCCCGCCCTTCCCCTCCCTTCCCTTCCCTTCCCCTCCCCTCCCTTCCCTGCCCTCCCTTCCCTTTGTTCTGTTCTTTCTTTCTTCTTTCCTTCCTTCCGTTCCTTCCTGCTTCCTTTCGTACGTTTGGAGATGTTTGCATCAGCGCTCATAGCCTCTGCACTGCGTGGTTCGAGTCTCGGCTAGCGCGGCACGGACATGTGGGGGGGGCGACAGTGGGATTCACAGAGTGGGGCGAACCGCGCAGTGGACAGTGCAGCGAGATCAAGCCTGAAGGAAGCTTCATCTTGCTTGCAGTCTGCTTGGCTTGTGCTGCTCACTGATTTAGATGAGCAACCATTCACGGGGCCATCGTCACTCAAGACTCTCACAATGGGGAGTTGATCCATTAGATTGCCTCCACGACACGAGAACATGGACGGCATATTCACAACACACTCTAGCATTGCACAGCACCGTCAGAGCTATGTAATGAGTTGAAACTCAAGTGATAAGGTGTCCAGGACGGCCATGCAGGATTGCGTAGAAGTTGGGAGCTTCAAGATAGGGCCTGTCCAGGCTGGGATGAAGGTGAAGCCTGGTTCCTGACTTCGTGCTCACTCGACCGCACGCGTCACAGCCAAGCTGAGGGTAGCTGTCGGTTGCGCCAGTACTCTACAGCTGCCGGGTGTCTTGTACAACTTCCAGGCGGAGGCCACGTGGAGGATTGACCCTGTCATTGCAGATTTCACAAACGGGCTGCGAACACACAACAGGAGGCTTGGAGCAACACGCCCCTCCCGATACGACGCTACGAGGTGTCAGAATGGCACCCTGCCTCCAGGTGAAAATTCGGCTGTTTACTCCGAAGCCTCTAAACCTGAGAAAGCAGCCAAGAGACATCAAGAGACAGGGGGAAGCAAAAAGATACATTACAAAAGCACCTTCATGATAATAAAATAATGACAACATATAGTAATCATAAGAACAAAACCCTCAAGAAAGAATGTACATTAAACCTGTAACAATCATAATCATAATCATCATTATAATCCCAATACTATACAGAAGTACACATAAGACTACAATGGTGGCTCCTCCACCAAGCCGCTGGATGCCGAAGTCTCCGTACACGCCTTTCCTCAGTTTAGGATGGCCCTAAGGAGTGAGGGCGTCGCCGGAAGACTGCCAAGAGTCCCTTAAACTCAGCACCCTAAACCCTAAACCCTAAACCCTAAACCCTAAACTGGCTGAGATGCCGAACCCTTGTTTGCATCCGGGCTTGGGGAGTTGGTTGGGAATCGTCAGCAAGAAACCCTGTTTTGAGCACCAAACCAGGAATGTGCCAAGACGGCCACTTCGGAGCTAAAATGCCAAGTTGCTCTTTCATCTGCATTCTCAAGTGGAGTTTTCCGGTGGTGCTGTCATATCCGGCTGCATTCGTTGAAGCCGTCTTCTGAACCTTAGGTTTTTCACAGGTAGGCTGCATGTGCTCAGGTGCCTCACGTGAGCAGGCCGAGACCGGCACGAATCACGAAGACTGGGTCATAATGTACACCAGGGAGCCGGGGAGATTGCGTAGTAGTCCGTGCTCAGCGGGTGTGCTTCTGGCACGTTATCCGTCATGCCTGCCGCTCCACACCGCGTGGCATTCCCCTACACCCTTCGAATCCGACAGCCCTTACCGTGGGCAGCAAGGTTGTAGCCGAGATGCCGAACGGCCGATGGAAGTTAAACGGCGCCTCCACAAATGTGAACTTCAGCGAGCACCTTGCAAGGCTTCCAGCAACCGGGCCGATTGACGATTCGTGATTTTCGTTTTGCCTCTTTTGGCGGCTACCCAACTCGTGCCAACTATGTCAAGTCACAAAGCCCAGGCGTCTGCAGAGAGGTGGATGCAATTCGGGATGCGGCTGAGGTCTGTAGGATCACCGAGGGACTGGTCGAGGATGAAACCTGTGCTGCCACAGAGGTGACGAAGACAATCTTGGCACAGACACCAAATACACTACAATATACTACAATTTACTACAATATACTACAATATACTACAATATAGTAATACATTATATACGTATTATATAGAATAATTGGTGCCAGGAGCTTAAGTCGATGTCTATGGAGGAGCCGGCATCGATGACGCTCTCCTGGCGTCACTTCACGTGCTTCTTACGAAAGCCTGGCAAATCTGCTTACGCATGTGCTGCATGCCGCGTCCGAGGCTCGAAATATGCGCCGAAGCCCGCATCTCCCTCCACACCAATGTCTGCAATGGCATTCTCGAAGCGCATCGGTATCTCAGTCCAGGGTTCATGCAGGTGTCATGCGCATGATTGAGCATGAACCAAATCGTGCAAAGTGGGAGCCGCGAGCCGGCAACTCAAAACAGCCAAAAGACCGGCTTGGAGAGGCAATGGTGAGAGTTGCCGGACCCATCATCAATGAATGCGCCGATCCTGGGTTTGCTCGGATTTGCTCAGAAGCCGCTGCTGTCAGCTTGGCACATCCTCTGGAGCTGAGTGACTGCACCCAATGGTCGCCCGAGGTGGCTTCGAACTGCGTCGCGAAGCTGACGAAGCTTGGATTCTCGTTGTACTCCCTGTCACCACATGATGTTGACACTTTTTTGGGCGGCCATACGCAATCTCCATCCTGTGAGACATCCCTATAAGTTGGGAATGTCCTCTAGTTTCCTTCAGACAACTGGGCGTCTTACTTGCTACTATTTAGCCATACTGATCCATTTACTTGGCAGCTTTCTCCTTACTTGCCTATCTATGTACTTGTCAACTTGTGTCCCTGCCAGGAGGCACAGTTGAGAGGCACGGCCCTACACGCCAGCAACGAGGCATGCTTGTGATTGGCACACAGCTTGCAGGACACAGGCTTTTTGGGGAATGGGATGGGCTCCCTGCGTAGCCAAGTGCTAGGGTTTCTTTTTAGGAGGCTAAGGATGCCAAGCAATGGTGTAGCGAAGTGAAGAAAACAGAAGTAGCCAAGTGCACGAGAAAAAGTAGACAGAATAAAGAAGACAAAGTAGACAAGTGAAGAAGACAAGTGTCGTCCATGTGGTACAAAATGCAGTAGCCAACCCTCCTTTAAAGAAGGCCTTCCAAAACGTGATAGAGAGGAGCTCTAAACTATAGTGACTGCAACCCACCGAAGGCTCCGCGCTCTGCCAGTAGTGACCGTCACGTGGCAGGCGCCGGGTTTTTTGTTCGAAGCGAGCCATTGTGAGCCCCGAGGGCGGCAAGAAACTGCTTCAGAGGAATCCGCCGTCTTGAGGCGGTTTGCATGTCTGCCAAGTCAGAATCTGCAGAAAATAGCAACGTGTCCAACGTCAGACCCAAACCGAAGGGCGTGGTCGCCTCGGCCCTGATTTCTTCGTCGCCGTAAAGCCTGCCTCTTGAGGAGGCTGCACTGCGTTCCCGGTCTCCCACGCAGGGGCGCAAAGAAACGGATGGCTGCGAGACGAGCACAACGAGGTCTTAAACTGTGAAACTAGGGAAAGTGTGGAACTTTGTGCTGGCGCTCGGGCCTGTCACAACGAGAAGCGAAGCAAGACGCAGCAAGACCATGCCTCAGCGTTGCCGGCGGAGGCGTCGGAGTGATGGACGAGGTGATTTGCATGTCGAGCATGGGCCGCGGCTCCTCATTCCGCGGGTCCCATGTCAGGAGAAACCAAGTGCCTACCTATGAAATCAACGAGACTCTACGACTTTGGAGTTCGAAGGCATCACTTGTGGCATCTCCACTGCGTCCAGGGGTCATGCCGCACCTCACCAGGAACTCAAGCCGCCAAGCCGACACGTCAACAATGGAACAACCCCTGAGGTCAAGGCAAAGCCAAACCGGTCTTTATCCTGAATTGCAGGCACTGCTTCACATCTTTCTTGCTAGGCATTCTCCGTATATGGCATTGGCACGGTTTCCACCGACAGTTAGGAGGCACAACGACTAGGATTGCAGCCGCGATTCGCTGCTATATGCATCAAGTAGCCTGAGGCGCAGGTCTCGACAGTATCAAAGCGGTTGTAACATGCTTGTTGCCATTGCCCGCGGTCACATCACCATCCGATGCGAGCTCCCCAACAACAGGGGAAGAAACTCCCCAGGACCCTTGTGCATTGCTGCGCCCGACTGCCAAGGCAACCCGTGCAAGTGGTTTCAATTCTCAGAGCAGCCCGACTGCAATCTCAGCTGTACTACAGCCGGTGGCACTAAAGCACTGTGGGGAGACTGTTTTTGATGTTAAAGACAAGCAACTTCTCAGAAACCAGCATCCCTTCGAGACAAGGCACACCAGATTCAGGCTGCCATCCGGGTTTGATTGAAGCTTGCGCGATGTGGCGGACTTCGGCGAGGGCACGGGCTCTCCGAGTGCAGATGCTTTGAGCCCTTAGCTTCTGCTATCCTGTTGACGGGCAAAGCGGGGTCCACTAGCCAGTCAAGTCTCTCCGAGCAGCCTCCGCGTGCAACTCCTGTCTCGAATGTCTCGAAAACTTAGCCTAATCCCTGAACATGCACTTCGAACCGATGTGCTGAACGCAACATGTAGAGTGACGACAAGCACAAGAAAAACATGCGGTTGCCGTCCTCAGCCTCGGCCTGCAGTCGCCTTTCGGTGATGTCAAAGCACGTGCTGGTGTTCGGGGTTGAAATCGAAGGAAAGTTGACCTGAGCTCAGAATTTCATGTGATTCCATTTCGCTAACAACCTAGAACCGAATAAAATGAGGGTCGGGATACAAGTGAAAATGAGGATTGTGGTGGCTTTCCATTCACTGCTGCGTGCAAGTTTTCACCAGACCTCTGCGTGACAACAGCCTTATCGATTTTTGCCAAGTCTTCGGAAAGGTGGGCAAGTGTTGAGGCCAGAGGGGTGTGCTCCAGGTGTTGCCCATTTAAATTTACGGCGAGATGCGCAGCTGGTCTGGCTCTGCAACCTGACAGTTGAGAAGAAGATGTCCCCAGACTGCATAACCTCGGCTTTGGGCATATGGATTCCTCTGGACCCCTAATATGGTTCCCAAGTGTAGAATACCCCTCGTGCCCTTTACGAATGGTTGCCGCCCTAAGCCCTAAACCCTAAACCCTAAACCCTAAACCCTAAACCCTAAACCCTAAACCCTAAACCTGCCACTTCCGCGACTGATCTTGGGTTGTTCGTGCTGTCCTGGCACATCGCCGCTGTTCATTTTGCCTAACATGGCTGCGTGTTTCTATGTCTATGTATGGGGGTTTGCGAAAATAGGGTACCCTTCTTGGGGGTTCTAAACATAGAGATTATAGTGTCTTGGGGTATATTAGGGGGACCCATATTTTGGGAAATAGCACTAATGGCATCTTGATTGCGATGCTGCTCCGCATGTCCGACTACAGGCACGAATTAAGTGCGGTCATCATTCTGGCCGCAGGTGGCAAATTTCCACAACTCGACATTCTAAACACAAGCGAGCAATTAACGCCGAGCTTGTAACATAAGGCGGCGGTCCAGTCAGCACCGTGAACTGCGAGGTCGTGAGGCTGTAGAAGGAGGCTTGAATTGGCACAACCTGCTGGCACACCTGAACAGCCGGGATGAGCATTGCATCAGTGGCAAGCGATGCTCATGAGCGAACGAGTCTACTGGATTCTAAGGGCAACAATGACGCGAAATTAAATATAATAAAACCACATCGCAAGGGCAACACATTGAGTGCCATGACAAAATCTGATAAAGCCTTCTTGATGGCTGGAAAGCTACTGGCACGGGAGAACAGGGAGCGAGAAGAAGTGATTCAGGGTGAACTAAGGAACGCAGGGAACACGAGGAAAGCCAAGAGATGCAAATTCAAAGTGCAGCCTGCCTCCGGTTGTGGCCCTCCAACCACCCTGCCCCGAATTGTCACGTGCAGTACACATTAATATGAAAGGATGGACACACCAGTCGAATCCGACACGTCCACACTGCCTAGCTGAGAGACTTTCGCTTTCTGGAGATTCAACCTCGGCTGCGACACTTTCTGCGACCCACAGATCAGGTCCCAAAACCGACGCGGAAACCTGGCCGACAGGGCCGAAAGATCAGTGCAAACCAGTGGGCGCCATCGCAGTTGAAGCGGACTTTGAAGCTGAACTGGCCCGTATTTGCCAGCGTGCCGCCTCCAAAAATTGCCTGGAAAGCCACGACTGCCTCGGTGCCGATCGCTGGAGGATGCCGCGGGAGCGGGCGGTTTGCAAGAATAAAGCCCTCAGCACAAATATGCTCAAAAAACATACCGTCTCTCATGCCCTCCAGGTTGGGCTTCAACGGGACAAGATATACAAGATGGGACAATCAGAACGAGTTGCAAAGCCCTGGTCATTTGTCACCTCCATAGCATCAGGCGCTAGCTCGACCACGCCCTCGCCTGGTCGATAGCAAGACAATGCCACGCTTGCAGCAAGTCGTCGTACTTCTCGTTTTGACCGCCCTTTTTGTGCACAGTTCCGGTCTGAGCGAGATGTCCCCGCTGTCTTGTGACGTGCGTGCGAAGAAGAATACATAAGAATTCCGGGTGTACAAGCCGTGGCAATGGAAGCCGTGCTCGAAACCTCGTGAGGACAAGCAGTCAACGTTGCTTTGTTGGCTTTCTGCAAGCTGTGAGCTGGCGCTGTTCCAGTTCAGGGGTGGGTGCGTAGGGTGGGTTTGGCGGATATGCCAGTGTGTGTGTGGGTGAGTGGGTATGCCTGCGTGGGTATGACTGTGTGCGTATGCCTGTGCGGGTATGCCTCTGTGGGCATGCCTGTGTGGGTATGACTGCGTGCATATGCATGTGTGGGCATGCCTCTGTGGTGGCTATGACTGCATGCATATGCATGTGTGGGCATGCCTCTGTCTGTGTGTGTATGGGTGAATGTGTATGCCTGCGTGGGTATGACTGTGTGCGTATGCCTGTGTGGGCATGCCTGTGTGGGTATGCCTGCGTGGGCATGACCGTGTGCGTATGCCTGTGTGGGCATGCCTGTGCGGGTATGACTGAGAGCATATGCTGTGGGCACGCCTCTGTCTGTGTGTGTGGGTGAAATGGGTATGCCTGTGTGGGTATGACTGTGTGCGTATGCCTGTGCGGGTATGCCTGTGTGGGTATGCCTGTGCGGGTATGACTGTGTGCGTATGCCTGTGTGGGCATGCCTGTGTGGGTATGACTCTGTGCGTATGCCTGTGTGGGCATGCCTCTGTCTGTGTGTGTGGGTGAGTGGGTAATGCCTGTGTGGGTATGACTGTGTGCGTATGCCTGTGCGCGTATGCCTGTGTGGGTATGACTGTGTGCGTATGCCCGTGTGGGCATGCCTGTGTGATCCTGTGTGGGTATGACCGTGTGCGTATGCCTGTGTGGGCATGCCTCTGTCTCTGTGTGTCTGTGGGTGAGTGGGTATGCCTGTGTGGGTATGACTGTGTGCGTATGCCTGTGCGGGTATGCCTGTGTGGGTATGCCTGCGTGCGTATGCCTGTGCGGGTATGCCCACACAGGTATGCCTGTGTGGGTATGACTGTGTGGGTATGCCTGTGTGGGTATGCCTGTGTGGGCATGCCTGTCTGTGTGTGTGTGTGTGCCACGTGTGTGTGTGTGTGTGTGTGTGTGCCAACCCTGTTGCCAAGGGAGCAAGTGTGCAGAGCTGTTACCGTTAGAGCATGCAGGGGGATGTGGCGTGAGATCAGGGACCACATCCAATGAAGCTACCTGATCTCATGGGATGCAGAACTTGGCCAGTTCTGTGTACCTGCGATTTCTTCAGTCTCACGAATCATTTTAGCAAGTTGGGAACTTCAGGATTGTGAGGTGTAGACCAGGTAAACAGGACCCCAAGACTTGGTGTGGAGATTGCACAAGTGTGCTCCAGGCAGTATTCGTCTATCGCACTGTCTGCAGCAGGGTTGCCTGCCTGATACTATGGTCTTGATTGACCATCCTGAGCTCCCTGATCGGAGCAACAGCCTGTCAGCATTTCCCCCCTCAACTGCTGCAGCGAGTGAAATTGACTGTGTCCACAGTCTGCTGATGTTCAAACCAGATACCGAACAGGTCCTACGCCTGTTGTCGATCCATCCTGTTAGAGACGTCAGCCAGGGTTATCTCCACCCAAGTGATGTTGCGTGAGTGTTGATCGGTGTACCATTGTTTACGCAGCGTGTTGAGAGAGATCAAGTTCCTGTAGTGCTGTAGTCTTCCGTGTCAGCAGCGCAGAGATGTGGAATGCAGAATCCTGCGAGTAGAGCCAGACGGTTGCAAGTGCAAGTTTCTTCGTGGCAGCGAGTGATTCTCACTGACTTGCAGCGTTGCGTGCAGTACATGCTCAGTCTGTTGCCAGCAGATTTTCGCAATTCTGACCAGCAGAGATTGTGGCAGCTGCACATGTTCTTGAACTTGAACTTGACTTTATGCTTGTGCTCAATGGCTGCAAGAGCTCCGCTCTTCTGATTGAAGGGTGTGTGTGTGTGTGCCAACCCTGTTGCCAAGGGGGCAAGTGTGAAGAGCTGTTACCGTTAGAGCATGCAGGGGGCTCCCTGATCGGAGCAACAGCCTGTCAGTTTTTCCCCCCTCAACTGCTGCACCTTTGAGCGAGTGAAATTGACTGTGTCCACAGTCTGCTGATGTTCAAACCAGATACCGAACAGGTCCTACGCCAGTTGTCGATCCATCCTGTTAGAGACTTCTGATGTTGCGTGAGTGTTGGTCGGTGTACCATTGTTTACGCAGCGTGTTGAGAGTGATCAAGTTCCTGTAGTGCTGTAGTCTTCCGTGTTAGCAGCGCAGAGATGTGGAATGCAGAATCCTGCGGGTAGAGCCAGATGGTTGCAAGTGCAAGTTTCTTCGTGGCAGCGAGTGATTCTCACTGACTTGCAGCGTTGCGCGCAGTACATGCTCAGTCTGTTGCCAGCAGATTTCGCAATTCTGACCAGCAGAGATTGTGGCAGCTGCACATGTTCTTGAACTTGAACTTGACTTTATGCTTGTGTGCTCAATGGCTGCAAGAGCTCCGCTCTTCTGATTGAAGGGTGTGTGTGTGTGTGCCAACTCTGTTGCCAAGGGGGCAAGTGTGAAGAGCTGTTGCCGTTAGAGCATGCAGGGCTGATCGGAGCAACAGCCTGTCAGCTTTTTCCCCCCTCAACTGCTGCACATTTGAGCGAGTGAACTTGACTGTGTCCACAGTCTGCTGATGTTCAAGCCAGATACCGAACAGGTCCTACGCCAGTTGTCGATCCATCCTGTTAGAGACTTCAGCCAGGGTTGTCTCTACCCAAGTGATGTTGCGTGAGTGTTGGTCGGTGTACCATTGTTTACGCAGCGTGTTGAGAGTGATCAAGTTCCTGTAGTGCTGTAGTCTTCCGTGTTAGCAGCGCAGAGATGTGGAATGCAGAATCTTGCGGGTAGAGCCAGATGGTTGCAAGTGCAAGTTTCTTCGTGGCAGCGAGTGATTCTCACTGACTTGCAGCGTTGCGTGCAGTACATGCTCAGTCTGTTGCCAGCAGCTTTTCGCAATTCTGACCAGCAGAGATTGTGGCAGCTGCACATGTTCTTGATCTTGAACTTGACTTTATGCTTGTGCTCAATGGCTGCAAGAGCTCCACTCTTCTGATTGAAGGGTGTGTGTGTGTGCCAACCCTGTTGCCAAGGGAGCAAGTGTGAAGAGCTGTTACCGTTAGAGCATGCAGGGGGAGGTGGCGTGAGATCAGGGACCACATCCAATGAAGCTACCTGATCTCATGGGATGCAGAACTTGGCCAGTTCTGTGTACCTGCGATTTCTTCAGTCTCACGAATCATTTTAGCAAGTTGGGAACTTCAGGATTGTGAGGTGTAGACCAGGTAAACAGGACCCCAAGACTTGGTGTGGAGATTGCACAAGTGTGTGTGTGTGTGTGTGTGTGTGTGTGTGTGTGTGTGTGTGTGTGTGTGTGGTGTGTGTGTGTGTGTGGTGTGTGTGTGTGTGTGGTGTGTGTGTGGTGTGTGTGTGTGTGTGTGTGTGTGTGTGTGTG